AGAGCTGTTTGGATGGATGAGGTCACAGACTGAGATGTCCTTGTGGCATTATGTAAAGTTCATGCATGACATTCGCAACAGTTTCTCAGATATACTGCTCACATTTCCCCTTTGCCTGAGTCAGATGATAGAGAACAGGGCTTCATGGATCACTGATAGATAGAAGCATCTATTCTTCCCCACCGGCTATCTTTAAAGGAAAGAATTACACCCTGTTTGCTAATTTCCTCTCTGCCTTTATCCCTTCAATGCGTCCTTAAGTTGCTCTTCTGCTACACGTCCCGCTCTCCCATTTTTTGGTTGCTTCATCAACTTTCCTCCTCCTCCTTTAGCTTCCTCCCCTCTATTCGTGCCCATACGAATTGACCTTGCTGCATCTCAAGGAGAATTGATTTTTCTCTGGTCTTTGTGGAAACCTATAGCTCAACAGTACTCAGAGGAATTTCTTCTTCCTCCCAGAGGTGGATGGAGCTAATTCTCGTTCATGAGGCCACTTTTGACTCCATTTTATCTGTCTGCCTCCCCCCCCCATAGTCTACCCCTCTTCTCTTCTGAGCGCACAGAAATAGAGCGAGCATGATTAATGCAACTATCAACGGCAAACGTTAGCTTTTGCTGAACCTCTTTATGCTGCATTGCTGTTTTATTATTCATGCTCTTCAAACGCTGCTACTGAATTATCACACTAATTGATCAATAAAACGGTTAGAATTGTTTTATTTGATGAGACGGACAGACATAACTTTATAAGACATTGGAAGGATATGTACCTGACAAATGTAGCATGCTATAAAACTTTGCCATTTTAAGCCCAGCAGCAGATTTTTGCATTCAATAATCATCAAAACATGATCAAGAATGGGTGCTTTGAAGCCAGTGCCCATATTTTAGAATCAGTTATGTCACTGCACAACACCAGAGAGCTGCAGAGTGAAGAATCATCTGTTCCTCTTTCCACTTGGTGACCACAGTGACCGTTGAAGCATACAGAACCTTTTCCAGGCTTTATCTCCCAGGTGCCTTGTAGCCGTAGGATCCCCAGTAAGTGTTCAGCCAGGCTGCCACGGCGAATGCACTAATGTTAAAACCATAATTACAGACAGGTGTATTATTTCGCTTCGCGGAGCAACAGCAGCGGGCTGCCGGCACTGTTGTGTGTCGCATAAACTGTGGGGTTTTATATGTGTTTATACAAGTGTTGCATCACCTATATGTTTAGTGTGTGTTTTGAGTAAGAAAAGACCTCATCCCTGATTGACAAAATGAAACCGTGTGCGCTCCTGCACCATTCTGGCCTTTACTATTTAGTGCATGGTCTTTGACAGAGAGGCACTGCAGTGAGGCCAATGAAGCAGTGGGAGTCAAGCAGAACAGACACCTCCACCTCCCTCTGCTCTGCAGTGTTACACACACACACGCTGATGGGCCATACACACACACACACACAGATGCACTCAAAGACACAATACGTTGCCTTCCCACCAGTCCAATAACAGGCCTATTCATTATAGCCTCTTACAGACGGTATTGACAGCCTACTGACACACAGTCACTCCAGCATAAACAAATGGGGCAGCGGAGAAGAGCAAGGGAGGGGAAGAGACCTGTTATAGTGGCTTTTTGATTAAGGAGTCCACTCCACAAACCAGGAGAGTCCACACGCATGGACCAGCATCATCATCTGTCTCTCTCTCTGGCTCACAGACACACATACAGTAGGTTCTCCCTTCTAATGAGAGTCACATCAATTTTGCATCCTGGCTCACTACTAAAACATGTGGTTTGTTATAATGACAATAAAGCGAATAGGTCTTTCTCAATGATTGCAGGGCCATGTAGAGGAGCTTTTGAAAGGTTAACTGGGTCAGGTGTCACCATGTCATGCCCCCCCCTAGCCGCTCTCACACTTGCCAGAGAAGAATATTCTGCAAAACAACTTGATGAAATCTGAAGCCAATGTCCCAGTGACTGGGGTGCATATGGAGTTTTAACTATAAACATCCAATTCATTGTCTGAGTTTGCTGGATGATTAGCTACATTTAGTCTTCATGTGTTGTCACAGGTCTTCATCATCTCTTATGAAACGGTATATCTTATTGCCAAAGCTCAGTTTTGTTCAGCATTAAAGCATTCCAGTTTTACCTTAGATGTGCAAAAAAAACCTCTAATAACTGGAACCAACTGTGCCATGTATTGCAGAGTTATAATTACTGTGTCAATTTGACATAAACATGGAGCAGAGCGGTCATGGAGAAAATGGGGCGGGGGAACTGCTGATGTGTTCAAAGACGCATTCCTCTGTGTTTCTTTGAGCGGACCTGTGGAACCAGGTGAGTGTGTGCAGGCTGTTAGAGGAAGGGGGGTTAGGGGACGCTCTGAATGGAATGAGCCATAGCTATGCAGACGTCTCAACATATAGAGACAGAGTTCATGAAGACAGATGAGGCCGGCGTGGCCACACAGAGACAAAGACAAACAGACAGATGGACAGCATGGCCCTGCACTCAGGAAGTCAGCTTTGACTCAAACAGACGCGACAGAGGAGACTAACATGCAAACATGAACTGATCATGATTGAGTCGCCCCCCTAAAGCACTTTGAGATGAAGCTAACAAGGTGGAATGTCCCAGGAAGGCTTCTCACATCGTCATCATGCAGCATTTTTGGTGAGAGTGTCGGTAAGGACCGCTTATATCTAAAAGCAAATTCTGTACCAGGAGCTTCCTCCGGGCATCACAAAGCACGTCTGTTTTCGTTTCTTTTCTCTTTTTTTAACATTGTGGCTGATCACAATAAAATTCATGTTCTCTACTAGCTAGCCATTGTTCTCCAGCTGCTTGGCTCCGTTTTTCTGCCCAGAGAATACAAACATCAGCGGCAGCCCCGTACCACCTAACTTGGTGCAGAGCCCATGTCAGAGAGCTGAGCTGGCCGCCCGCGGGCTTCGTAGCTCACTGTACAGCTGAACCACACATCCATTGCCATTATCAGCATCAGGGCTGTCATCGCTATCACAGCGGCCAAAGACCTGTGCCAGGTGCCCGGATTGCCTACGTAGCCAGTCACCATGGACTTGTGAATACAGCATCAAGGACAGAGCCACACTGTGAACGGTCGCTGGCTCAAGGTCATACAGAACAGAGGATGGAAAAAGGCTAATAGCCACACAGACAGAGCTGGAAATATGGTTTATAGAGGCATACTCACACCGTACACATATCAAATTCTATTATTGATATATATTGATATATATTGCATAATGCGATTTGTTGGAGATTATTGCAACCTTGCAGATTTTGGTCAGTCAGCTGAATCAGAACATTTACTGATTTGACGTCCAGATCAGCCGGCCTTAGTAATTGTAAAGGTCACTACAATGACATTACCCTTTTCAGAGCAGGAAAGCCTGAAATGTCAAATCGCTCAGCGGTCACATCACAACGCAAATGGAGCAGAATGTTAGGCATTGGAAAATATGAATGATCAGAGGGGAATAACGGAAGAAACCTATCTGAGAGACAACTTGACGAGGAGGGGTCTGGGTAAGGTGGGTTTTTGTTAGTTAAAAGGGAGGAAGATTCTATACACTATAATGTGCTGAAAAACACAACCAGTTTGTATATCTGAGCCACAGAACATCATTACTGTTTGAACACTATTTAGTCCTCCATGAAAAATTCTGCAACTGCAGAATTCATCATTCATGAATCTGCAGAAGCCACATTCCATGTTATTTTACTTGCAACTGTAGTGTTAAACAGTTGATGTGGACGCACTGTAATAACTACCCTAAGCCCAAACCATCCCCTTTATAGTCTACCTGCTGTTAGGGGTTAGAAACATGCGAGTTATGGCTCTGGAAAAATATCATTTACTGGGGCTGCAAGACAGTGCATGTCTAACTGTTAAATTAAGTCTGGTAATTGCTCCTGGTTGACCGGAGCATAAAAGTGGAAATGTTGACAGTCACAAAATGACCATGAAAAATAGAAAGGAGGAGAAAAAGTTGGGAGTGAGAAAGTTCCCAATTTAACGTTCATTCTCGCAAACAGGACTTTTACCGTTTAGCTCGCAGGAATACACGTCCCCCGAAGTGCACAGCTCAGACTACACGACTCCCTATAATCATTAGAGACGTCTGCTGGAAAAACATGCCTGCCGGGAGACGAGCAGAGCTGCGCCTGGATCAGCCCAAGCATGCGTAAAACAAAGCGGCCTCTCCGGCAAAGAGCACAGCAACTCACACACACACAAGCGCTTAAAACAATTGGACACCCAAAAGCCTCACTCAGTCCCACAGCAGCGCACGCGGTCCGGTCACATCACTGGACTTACAGTCGCAAGCTCCCACCTTCTGTATCTATGTGCACGCAGACTACGAAGAGCACAGAGACCACACAGAACCCCCTCACACGTGCCACCATGAGACCTGAATACTAAAGAAGAAAGTGCTGGCTGACTCAGAAAACAACAGCCCTGTATGATAACTAAAAGCTACTGAGGAATCAGTGCTTCATGGTTGAAATGCTTTGCTGATCATTGTTCAAGCGGAGTTATAAAAGGACGTTCCATGTAGAAACTACCGCAGGCCGTGTAACAAATACCTGAGAGAATTCTGTCATTCCATCAGTTATCTGTAGGTTGGTACGGAACCAACCACTGTGACTTCCCCTCTTCTGCCAGGACATGGTGGAGCCTGGTCACGTGACCAAACAAACCATGATGATACAGTCCAGCTCCACAACACTTTGACCTTCCCCGTCACCGTTCACACCTGCCGTATTAAACGGCACCCTATCAGCGTAATTACAGGCGCTAACCCCTGTTTAGAGGTTCATCCCGGTGGTCAGGGATGACAGATGTCTGCGTGGAGTGGAAACCAGGCAGAGCACACTATTAAATAAAGAGCCGCTGGCAGCCTGGTTTAAGTAGGAATTAGTGATTCAACAACACGACTGACCCCTCCAAAATCCTGTGCACCAAATGAGCCACAACTCACCCAAAATCATGATGTGCGTTGCCTTTGGTGTCCCTGGGTTGTGCTCCCTCACAGCTCCCCCCGTCTTGCCTGCTGTCGACCAAGGGACAATGAAAATGAAAAAAAAAAAAATCTCTTTTCAGAGTTCCTTTCCACTCTCCAGAAAGAGCCAACTCAGATGGGCAACGCTAGACGCGAGGAGAGACAGCTGCCGCTGTGCACATGCCGTCCCTTGCGCCTGCCCTCTCCAGGTGAAATGCTGAGTGTGAGTATGTGTGAGAGAGAGAGGGGGGGGAGGGAGGGAGAGAGTGTGTGTGTATGTGTGTGTGTGCATGTGGTGGAGAGGGTCCAGCGTTTCTGCAGTTGTGGCTCAGGTAAGCCTGAGGACTGTATGGAAGAGGTAAGTAGCAGAGAGAGAAGGGGAGGGAGTCAAACAGAGGAGGGGGAGCCTAAATTGTGACAGGCAATCATAAAGGGGGGAGGCTACAGGGCAAAGATCTTCTTCTCCACCGCAGCCAGGAGGAATTGTAGTGGTCTCCAACAAAAAGCTGCCACGCTACTGCTTGTGAACGGTGTCATCTCACGGGGAGCTTCGGAGGGAAGGACTTCAACGCTCCGTGAAGTCTGCGATTGATTTGGTCTCTCCCAGTAAAATGCACACTCCCTCTCACACGCTGGCTTTCTCTCCCTGCTTCTTGTTTTTTTGGGGTTGGGTAGAGCCTAAAGGCACCTTACATGCCTCTTCTCTGATTGGTGGCAGCCTCCGCCAATGGAGACAGCGGCAGACACTTGTCATCATGCAGAGTGGAAGTCATGAAGGGGAGAGAGAGCTTGGCTGAAAATGCCGTCTCCCTCGACCGCAGCCTTTTCCATTTCATTTCCCAAATCCGTATCATCCATCTTCCCCTAACGCAGCGCATGGTCGTGCAGGCTGTTGATTGTGTTTGTCCTTTGACTGCCTGCGTTTGAGGACTTGTTAAAAGATTAACCCTTTATCTCTGTGGCTCTGCCGTTCTCTCTTTTTCTCCTTCCACCTCCTAACCTTCCCTGGCAAGGTTACGCATTTCATCAACCCCTGTGTTTGTGTCAAAGGGAATGGAATTTAGACTGGGAGTGGAGTGTGTGTGGGGGGAGGAGGAGGGAGGCGAGCAGAAAGGAGAGATGAAATAGAAAGCGACAGAGCGGAGGAGGCATGGAGAAGGAGGGGCAGAGTGAGATTAAACTAAATGCAACTGACAGAGGGATGAAGAGACGTGGAGTGACAAGAGGAGAAGACCGGGAGGACGGAATGCCGGCACAAAGACAGTGGGACACAGGACGTCGGCTGCAGAGAGTCAAAAGTGTGTGGACCACCGCAATGCAGGAGCATCGCCGGTCCTCTTCCCCCAAACACCCAAACAACGTCTCCTGTCATGTCTGAGCACGATTCCCGCCCTCTGTGTCTACACCCCGTGAAGAGTCTAGGTAGCCAGAAAGAGACTTTTGAAAATCACACAGCCACGATGTTGTCGAGAAGCTCGGCGCTTAAGAAAAGGCTTAACAAAGCTGTCAAAAAAATGAATCCCCTCGGGGCGGGTATGCTTGCGAACACGCAGATACAAACCCGTGAGCCCGGGGCCACAGAAAGTGCTGCCTGGTGTTCATATTGCCTCCTCTTGTGCTGCTCTCCCTTCCTTTTCTATCTCCCAGGCTGAGGCTGTGAGTCACAGCGTGCTGGAGTGAATACTAAGGAGGCTGGCTGACACTTCCAGAACCTCCCTGCGCAGCAGCTCCACCGCATGCATCTAAGCCGCTGTGCGCGTATACATTGGTAGACCTCTACACGTTTTTGTAAATTTGGGTTAAATACACCGACCAACTGCGGGTTAAGGAAAAAGGCCACCCAAACAGACCCACTATCACAACCAGCTGTAATGAGGCTAAGTAGTTATACGCTATAATAATTGACTTTCAAACATTGTAGAGTCCAAAAGGACAAACGAAGGTTAGAGAAGGAATTTTGAGCCTTTGGCTGCTCGGGGTCAAATGCACAAACGCACACAGTGTCCGCAGGAAATGGACTGAGCGCTGAGGATATTAGTTTTTTGAAAATAGGACACCAGCAGCCTGAACAATAGTTATCATCAATACAGAGATGCAAGCAAGTCCCTCCATGAGCATTCATGTGTGTGTGTGTGTGTGTGTCAGCAAAATAGCTGAGATCGGGTTTCCTCATTAGTTGTGTTGGTATCAATAATTCAGAGCCGGTCCTTGTTGGCGTTCAATGGGCCGAGTGCTAATGTGCCGTCGGGCCAACGGGGGCCCGGGGCCCAGCGCCCAGCGCCACTTTAATGGATGTCATGATGAGAGGGGGAAATTGGAGCACGGATCTCCTGTGTCATCCATAGGTAAGAAGAAGGAGAGAGGACAGAGGCAAAGGAGAGGAGTGAGGACACAGGGGCGGCGTGACGGCCATGGGGGGGGGGGGACAGATGGCAGGTTTGGGGGCAGAGGAGTGGTGGCAAGAAACAGGAAGAAAAGAAAGGTGAGAGGGACGGAAATTGGGCTATTAAGTCCTTCTCCTCGCCATTGGCTATGGATCAATCATCCTTAGGATGACCTCATCACCTTTGGATGGGCCGTGGGACACAATATGAAGGCTGTACTGTTAGTTAATCTACTTCATTGCTGGGTGAAAATGTGATGTAAAATGTATGGTGATGCTTAATTTTACAGCTCTGTCATTTCCTATAAACTTCTTTGTAATGTGGTAATTATACTGAAAGGAGCGTTTAAGGAACTGCCGGTTAAAAAGACGATGGTCTAACGAACCCAGAACATTCAGCCGTGAGGCCGCTTTTTGAGTCCAGTGTGAACCAAGTCAATTTGGTATCATTACACACGAGTTGCTTCTGTGTGAGAATGTATTGAAGAAGCCAGCAGTGTTTTTGCTTTTGACTAAAATAATAGAAGAACAATGACAGTTCAACTGTTCATTGAACTAAACTTCAACTGTGAGTAAAAAGTACTTTTAGTTTTAATTCCTTTTGTGTTTTGTTTGTTAACATTTCTAATATTTTTGCCGTTTCAACCTCGGGCCCTCGAGATGATGGTGAGGAAGATCAGTGCATTCAAACAAAACACACTACTTTTTTCACTCCAATCAAGTCTGTTCAATCAACCCTCCACACAGAAAAAACTTGTTTTTGTTATTTGGGTGATTGATTTACATTTCAAGGTGGGATTAAACTCCTCTGGATACTAAGTGCCAGCTGTGGTCCAGAGAGAGAGAGAGAGAGAGAGAGAGAGGGAGGCAGAGAGAGAGAGGGAGGCAGTGTTTACCTATGCTGCCCCCCAGAGGTGTAAATCTGTAAATACGGGGCTCTGGTAACATGTCTAAATATTTCAGTTTTAGCTACCTTACTGACAGCAGTTGGGATGTGTGAAAACCTTTCCATGTACACTGAGAGGATAATATGTTTCCCGAGCCACATGAACACACACGATTAAATAAGGGGAACCAAAGAGACATGAGGCCCAGCTCGTGGTGTTGATGGACTGTCAGACTGAATCCGAAACACCGTCTGTAAAACAGACTAGATGAAGCTGCTGAGGCAAGTGTGTTTCACGGGAAGAATGTTGGATTTGGCAAAGTGCACGGATCCTGACTGTAGCAGTGAAATGTGACAGGAGCGAGAGCTAAGCATGAAGCACGAAGGAATCATTCTGCTGATGTGCGGCGGCAGCCTGTGAAAGATGTATTAAATCTGAGAGCTAGTGATGTCAAATGCCTTCATTCATGTAACTCTCTGATCCGTTTTTCTCCTTCTTTCCAACAAAGGAAAAACAGTAAATCTACAACTCCTGAAATCTGCCAGACAGACTGTAACTCACTTCCTCGTAAGCTCAAAAGCAGTGTCAAAATCTTACTTCATAAATTCCAGTCATATTTTATGAACCTTGGCAGGCCGGGACTTTCCAGAAAATTGAGTTCATCCTTTCTCTTCTTTTCCAGTTTGTTTGCAGGGTGGTATGAAAATGATTTCTGTTGGTACAGACCCCTTTGGTCATATATCATGCTTTGGGTGTCTCCTGGCACCGTGGTGGTGAATTTAGAGGCTGCCTATGAATGTCAAAGGTGAGGGGGTGAGGCAAGCCCCGGGTACCAGCATACTTGCACGTCCCTCATAACGTGGCAAAGCATTTAAAAAGCTACCAGACTATAAATTAAAGCGTATTAGACCATGAAATCTTAGTGCACGTTAAAGGAACCACCACTCAATATCTACACAATAATGAGCATGTTGTGCCCCACAGTCTGTTTAATAGCTTCATTAAGCACAGCACACACAACGAGCCCGCTTAGTAGGAACCAAAGGACTTCTGCATTCCCCTTTGAGTTGAGCATATCAGTTTAGCGGCGAGGGATACTCCTCTCACATCAGGTGTGGACATGTGCATGAAATGTTTCCAGCTACACGCATCTAATAGTTCAAACAAGGGTATCAGACACTAACGGCGTTATTTTAATAACTCAGTAGCCGCTAAACAGCATATTTACGTTTGAGTCTCTCCATCGCAGAATGAGCTGAATGTCTTGATTGCGAAAAATAATATTAAAATAAGTTGCAGCCATTTTGATTTATGTTCTTAACAACGTGCCTTTTGATGAGTGTGCACGCAGGTGGGTGCGACTGCCTTGTGAATCCACGCCTGCCTGCAGAGATGAAGAATGTCGATGTTGACTGCCACAATCTCACACGTCCATGACGCTTTTACACCAGCAACAGGACAGGACGTCTTTCTTTCCAGCCACACTCGGATCACACGTTGGCGCCACGACGGCGGTTCGAACTCGTTGGAACGTCGCTGCAATGGTTAAATAAAAGTGTCGCCTCAACTTGCCTAAATGCTTTTGACTGATACATTCTTAGTTGTTTTTACATGTCGTGTGTGTATTTTCAGAGGACATAAAATAATGATCCTCTCTGTTGTTCCTTCACACTTGTTTTTTGGGGGGAACAAACTACAAATTGAGCACGCATACAGGCCGGTTAGGACCAGCCTCGCCCTAATGCGGGACGCTCAGTCTGTGTGGGGGCAGCAGAGGACGGGTGGAGCTGTCAGCTCCACCCGGGGACTTTTCATATTTCCAAGTCAACGATTGAGACTTGGTGGGAAGATAAATTCCTCACATTAACACAATTGTCACATCCGTCATTGAAACAACTGTAATCTTTTGTGCTGCGTCCCAACCTTTTAACCCCCCCCCAAAAATCCACACAATAATCAAGTCAATGAAGCTTCTTATACATTAATGGTATAAAAAATGTATTTTTCCCCACCGAGACAGTAACAGACGCACAGACATTAAAGCATCGGACGTTTTTCTTACCTGTGCTCCACATTGCACCTCCAGTCCTCCTGCAGCTCCTTATTAAGAGTGTCAGATCTCCTATCCAGGCCCACCGAGAGCTACTCTTTCCTCTGTGAAATCCCTTCCAGCATAAAACTGGTTAGGTGGAATAAAAATATCAAGAAGGATCCTCAACTGTTTCGAAAAGATTCCGAGAGCTGTGTGTGCAAACCGCTTAGCCCAGCGGCTGGCAATGTAAAGGACATGTGGAAATAGCGACTGCAAACACTTCTATCACCTTCCCTCCACCTCTCGACATCTCATCTCCTCCCTCCCCCTCTTTCACTCTCGGCCCTGCGTGAAAACAAAACTTGGGTCAAGAAGCTAATCGTGGGAGGCCTTAATAAGTGAGGACCGTTGTGTCAGAGGTAAGGAACGGAAGAGGCAGTAACAGGGAAGAAGTAAACGTCATCAAAAGCACGAGTAGCAAAAGTGAGATGCAGTTAACAGAGAAATATCCACAGAGGAATTGTTGCATAACACATGACACAAATTACCCAACAGCTGCAAAATTGTCACAAAGGACCATCCAGACAGGGAAAGCATCAAGGACAAATGCAAAACCTTGGTGTGGCTATTGCTGCTGAAGCTCTCAACTATACAAACGTTTCGCTGAACAACGTTTGGGAATGAAAGAGGACAAACTGGTCAACTTTACACTAATGGTGCAGCATTGTGGAGAGAAAAAGCAAAAAATACAAAGCAAGCAAGATTTTGGTAACACACACGTGATTAAATTCAGAGCTGTATGTTATTCTGCAGTAGGTGGCCACACTAGACACTATCCACCTGCAGCTACAGTAATTGTATTGTCCAACTTAGTACAGGCCTACTGCTGAATGAGATACTTACACAGCATCACGGTAAAGAGTAAAAAGTGACACACTCTCACCCTAAGCAGGCACACTGCAGCTCAGCTCTCTGCAGGCACTCTGCCGGAAGATAAGGTTAGAAGGGGAAAAGGACATCAGTTTACGGTTGTAAGCACATTTCGGCACCAAGTGGCCTGAGGGGTAGTGTTACATACACACACTGCTCACCAGGACGGTCCCGTCTCTCACAGGCTTGTAAAGTTTAAAACAGCAAACCATTAAATTCCACAAATGTTTATGTCTATGTTTACATCCTATAAAAATCCGCAGCTGACTGCAATCCCAGCCCGGAAGTGAATAAGAATATACAATAAGAATGCTTCATCGTGTAAATTGTATGATTATTAGAAAACATACGTACCGGACAGAGTCCCGCCCACTTTTTTTCCAATCAGTCGAGACCGATAACACCTGTGAAGCGTCCGCGCGCCGCCAGCACGTGTTCACATCGGCGACCACGGTGAACCGAGTCGAGCCTGTTTCCAGCGAAGGTTATGGCCAGCGTCGATGTTCTGTCCGCCAGGTTTGCCACTTATGACAAAATGTACATGCACGAAGCACGTGAACAGAGCTTTGCAGACTGGCCGTTCAGGGAGGAGTGTAACTGCACACCTGAGAAGGTAAGGAGTGGTTGTAAATTATAATAATTGTTGTAAATTATTATGAATATAAGCTTTCAGAAACAACGTGATGGATCATTTAAATTTACCTCATAAAACTACTAGCAACAACATATCCCACTACAAGTACTGCTCTGATTTAGCGAGCTAATAAACTGTTGGGAAGCTGAATCCATGAAAATACTGGAAAAATATAAGTAGCCTACAATGTTGGCTCGCAAAATCTTAGTGTTAAGTAGCATGCAAATAAGCTTTAAGAAAAGTACATTGAAATTTTCCTGAAGTAACGTTTCAATGGTTGAGTAAATGTACCTTGTTTCCTTCTACCTCTGGACACTAACTACAGGGCCAACAGGAGGTCACACTGGGTTAAACGTAAGGGATTTTCCCTCTCAACAGCTCTTTAAAATTCAAAATAAGGAAAACATGACAATAACTTTGTTTTAACTTGGTACATGACTACGGCTGCTGAAAATAATTGATTTAGCTGAACCATGTTTACACTTAAAGCTGCGTAACCTCGTGCCACGGCCTTTCGTCCAAGGCTGTCACAGTTTATGATAAACCGTTAAGCAGGTGTCCACAACTGACCCTTCGCTTTCCCCACCCTTGTCATGACGGATGAGCTGCTGACACCCCACTTGATGAGCAACATTATATGCTATGTTACCGGCTCCTAACCCCCGACCCCAGAGCCAAAAGGAGATCATCTGCTGCTGCTTCTGTTGTCACTGACCCTATAATCTCCCTCCAGCTTTGAAAAATAATGTTTTTATTAGTATTGTCCAGTATGGTGGATGCCTTTAAACCTATTTTGGTGCTTGTCCTTGCAGATGGCCAAGGCTGGGTTTGTCCACTGCCCTAGTGAGAATGAGCCTGATGTCGCCTGCTGTTTCTTCTGTCTGATCGAGCTTGAGGGCTGGGAGCCAGATGACAATCCTTGGTAAATAAAGCATGCCAGCTTCCTCAAGCTTTTACCAAAGCTACCTTCATGTCATCTTTGAGACTGAAGATGTTATACCAGTAGTGTGAGTTGGTACGGTACAGCTTTAGATGTGTTTATATTTTGTGTACATCACCAAAGATGATAAAAAGGAAAGAGTCCAACTGTGTGGAACTTAAGTGCCAAAAAGACTTGGAGAAAGAATACTCCGGTATTTCCTTGCTCTCGGTTCTAGAAGCCTCCTCTTCTCCCTCGAAAGAGCCACCTTGGTCTGATGGTCTAATTATATCTAAGACTGCTTGGCCAAAAGTGGGTGCGTCACACCAGGCTCCCGTAATACCTAAACGATGGGCCAAAAAGTATACGTCTCAGGTCTGCATTATGGTTAAGGATAAAATAGCATTTCTCTACATGCCAAATTCCAATGTTGTGCCTTCCACTAATTTATCCGATACATTTCTCTTCCCAGGACTGAACACTCAAAACGCTCCCCTGACTGTGGATTCTTAACAATGAAGAAAGACCTCACGGAGCTGACTGTGGCTGACTACTATCGGATGGAAAAGGAGAGGCTAAAGGTCTACCTTGTGAGTGACCCTACTACCTGTGTAGATGGTACTTAATAGAGTGACATTTTGATGAAATGCTTGTGTAGTGGTTGTTCTCACTATGGGTTTTTTTTCTGCAGAAAAAGGTCTGTCATAAGAAGATGGCATATTTTCGGGATGGCATTGACCATATGTTGGAGAGCCTTACATCTCAGTTGGACACTCTGACATGATTAAACTTCTTGTTTATATATTGTTATTGCCACACCGATCTTGACTCAATAGTTTTACGTATTTGCAGTTTATAATATCAATAAAGTTGTGGGGAATATTGCACTTTGTTTGTAGTACTGTATTTAACCAGAAGATGGGGCATTTGCATCAAAGCTGCACTTCTCCCCTGTCAGGCGCTCGCTGGAGTTTCACATCTTGCACTCAAATCCCTCACAAAGGAGATCTTAAATGAAAGCTCACATTGAGCAGGATTACAATGTGGGCTATATTCCCTCTTTTCAACTAAATACTTACCATTTTCCTGAACGTGCCACCATCTCTACCACCCCTTTTCAAACCTTGACCCTGGACAGATGGCCTGAAGCCCCTCCCTTTTAATACCAACTGTTGCCCGAGTAACATCTGTTACATATAGGGACGGTGTACACTGAGAGGGCTCACCGGGACACTTGCCTAACCCTGAGACCAGGAGCAAGATTTAGGAAACCCTTAGGATGGAGATGGAAAATGTGCCCATGCAGTAAACACTTGCACTGTAAGGCTTCACTGGTCTTATTTTGTAACAAACATTTAACATGTACTATTTGCTTAAAACATTGGTTAAAGTCTTGATTTTTCATCTTGTATGAGGCAGAAAGAAGCTGTTGCGCTCAGTTTCTTGTGTCGCTCCCTGAGTTTGATGGGTGACTGGAGGTTTGGACGGATGAAGTGAAGGATTAAAAGATGCTATCCCATCAGTCCCTGTTCTGGATTACTGTCTAAAGTAACACTCTGGCCACTCCACTCAGATCAGCTGCTTAATTCTCCTTTATCCGTTCCTTACAGACCAAATGGAAGACTATTTTTACCCCAAAATGGTAAAATACACATTGGCATAAAATTTCTATTTAAACTGTTGTCCTGTTTTACAACTTTTATTTTTTTTTTGTTTTAAATCAATGCTGTTAATTTTCCCATTTAACGTTTGATCCAAAGGTTTGAGTTTTAGATTCATGTAGTTGTCTTAGGTAGAGGATCGTCCACCAAATGGGCCAGATACCAATTGCAGTTACCTGATGGGATGATGGTATTTGCATAAATGCACAGATTATGAGGACTGTGTTTAGAGTAATTGCTAATGTATCTCTAATCACAGTGTATACCCACTTCCCATGTCAATCCACTTATTTATGTGTACTCCACAAAATGAACAGCAGGACATTTATCCCATAGCTCCACAGATGTGATGGATTGGCTTATCCGTGGGAATGGTACAACTGTAGATTTGTGGGACCATAACTGAGGTGGGAGTTTGGCGTCATGTTTTACCCCACCCAAGGTTTACAGCAGTCAAAATTATAAACCCAATTAGAATATATTTAAAGTCATTTTATTTGAGTCATTAAGTTAATAGGAACCTGCATTGCACCACTGCACAATGGATTTGGTTGTTTTCTGATCTAATTAATACTGTGACAAAGGGCGCAACAAGGGCCTCTAATGCAGTTTTGTAATTAATGAGTTTCTGCCAAACAAACTAAACAGTGAGTGTAGCAGATGGACAAACAGACAGATGTTCCCAACAGAAAGTTTACAACCTGAGCTTTCCATCAAGCCCCATCTGTTGCTGCTGTGCCTGGTACCTCCCTCTACCCTCCTCCAATGCATCTCATGAGCATCTAGCACCAAACCTTCTCCCCTGATGCTCCATACACTGCACTGCCCTAAACGAATGACATCGTTTACCCTCCAGTCTGACTTAACCCAAGGTTGAATTTCTCTCTTGAACTTTTCTCTCACTTTTTTAGTTGTTTTTTTTCTCTCCCTCCTCCATCTCTTAATGTTGTCTCACGTCTCTGGTAGTAAGGCATGCCGGCTGAATGTTCTCTCATACCACGGCCCTCCTACCTTTGGGTGTTTTTTTTTTTGTGCCCGGTTCGAAAGGAACCTCCATCTGTCACTACACTCAGCCCATTGTGGTGCTCCAAGGCCCAGCAACTTCCACAATGCAGTGGGCGTGCGGGAAGGGGAGGGGGGCAGGGTAAACACGACAGCATCCAGATCCCATTAGAAGCTCTTTAACTCCTACACCCTAATGCTCTCAGAGAACTCTGGGAGGAGAAGGACCACCCCTTATCCTCACGCACACGATGTCACCTTTTGCACTCCCATCGGTAATGAGTTTGCAACTGCCCCTTTTTGTGTGCGACTCCTGCTCTCTCGCATCGGTTGGACAAGCTGTGACTTTATCCTATTTTTCTATTTGCATTGTTTCCCTCACCAGGACAACAGAATGATCTTAAACTTCCATCATTTGTGTATAGAGGGGCAGTGTTATTTTATTGATAGGAAAAGAATAAATATCCAATCTCTATCTCACTAGAGTTCAGTTTATAGATCTCGGACGTTAATTCAGAAAAAAGTTGTATTCATTTTTATTTAATCACTTGCACAATCTTAACTTTGTCCAACCAAATATACGTATCTTCAGAATGCAGCCTTGCCATCTTTTATTGTGTAATTCAGTCTTTTCCCACATCTCTCTCTCTCTCTCCCTCTCTCTCTCTCTCCATCCATCTCCCCAGTCTTTCTTCTACCAGCTGCTCCTCTAAGTCTGGGGCGTCTCCGTTTAGAGGTGCTCCACCTCTCAACCTGGGCTCTCGTATCCCTACGCTGTCCACAGAGGCGTGTGTGTGTGTGTGTGTGTGTGTGTGTGTGTGTGTGTGTGTGTGTGCGTGTGCGTGTGCGTGTGCGTGTGCGTGTGCGTGCGTGCGTGCGTGCGTGCGTGCGTGCGTGCGTGCGTGCGTGCGTGCGTGCGTGCGCACTGTTGCCCCAGAAGGGGGTGGAGGGATCACTGTGTCGGCCCCAGTTTTAAGGCAGAAGGATTACTGCCACACAGACACTGATTAAAGCCTTCCAGCATCCTATGGCCCCATTAATACAATCCTAATCACAATGCTTTAACCCTCCATCTAGCTCCTACGGATCATAGCCTATTCATTTTAGAGGGAGACCCTCTTGTTTGTCCAGTGGATTAAATGTGCTGCACACAGAAACTCAAATATAAGCACAAGGGAGAGAGGGAGAGAGAGGCGGGGGAAAGAGAGGGATTCAATCTCCACTTAAGAAACGTAGTCTCAAAACTATTTCTTTCTTTCATGGTCCGGACAACTAACTTCCCCAGCCAAAAGAAATTTCCTTGACGTTACAATTGTATTTTGCCATCAGAGCTCGTCTTATTGGGATATACCTTTTAATGTCTATTGATGAATCATGAGTTGGAGTACTGAACCATTCATTCTCTGTGGGCTGATATCTGTGATGACCTCACTCTCTCATGGGATTCAGCCACAGGTTGCACTTTGCTGCATGCTGTCTCGGCCAAGATGGCATGACAGAGTATGTGTTCCCTTCCCATTAAGCGACCTCGTACCCTTATCATAGATAGACACCACCTCATAGACTCAGGTGTGTTTGAGGGCTAAAACCGGATTAATGGTTGCAAGTATTCCACCGATTTTCCATCATTTTCACAGATTATCAAACTAGTAAAAATACCTATTTCTCACTGAATTGTTTCAAACTCTAATCTGCGGAGATTGTCCTGCATCTCTGTGTTTTGTAATCTCGTATCCAAAGTTAATTTATGTGGATTATTTCCACCCACTCATGTATTTGGACGCAGGAGGATAATCCCCATACCCCTAACCCCCCCACCGTTTTTTGCCATAACAAAACAGCAAAGACACAAAGCGGGGGAACGCCAGCTAACACTGCCAGTACTTTCTCACAGGCTAAATGTCTCTGCCTGCGTGCAAAGCTATGTGTCACTCCTAAGGCTGACACGCAGGAGGAGAGAGGAGAAACTTGTGAATGGAGAGCAAGGACCTCGGTCACCTCTTCTGCCCTCTCCTCCTCTCCTCTTCTCCTTTTCCCCCCTTACACTAATTCCACGTTCCCTCCCTCATCCCTCTCTCCCTCATGCTCTCACTCTCTTCTCTCTCTCTCTCTCTCTCTCTCTCTCCCTAAATTGGCCCAGCTGTCCATCAGCCCCCCCGCAGTTCCCCCAGCTGTCTGCCCGCCCCGAACGAGAAGCCCCACAACAATACGGGTCACAGGTCAAGAGAAAGAACAGGCTGCGTTCACAATGGACCAGTGGCGCCCAGTAAAACAATCATTCCCTTTTTCTCCTCCAGCCTTTCTCCCCTGTTGCCAGAACTGAAAAAGACAAACCTTTGGAGAGGTAGCTGAAGAGGGGGGGAGTCCTCTTGGACAACTGCCTCCGGGGCACCTTTGCTTTTTTTTTTTTTTACAATTGCCTAAAGGACCACAATGATAAACGCACTTGAACACACCAGCCCTCTTCATCTTTACCCTCTGCCACCCCGCTCTTTGTCTATTTTAAGTGCAATAATTTCCTTCAGCGCAATCGTTAAGAGTCAAAACAAATTCTTTTATTAGTCGTTGCGTGATATGTTACAAGTTTTAGCTGTTCAGAAAATAGGCATCAGAATACTGTGTAGTTTTTCAACGTTAAAAAACTGCTTATATACTTTCTTGAGGTTACATCATTCTTCTAATAATAGTGGGGAAAAAAACATCTGACCAATTGATTTATGACCCTCCCTATTCATACGCTGTGACTATGAACAGAAAGCTGCTACTTTTTCTTTCTTAGAATTAATATGGACGTGATTCTATGAAAATGAGCTCTGCCCTAAAGTGTTTTGGCATGAACTAGATGGGAAAATGGGACATGTGTAGGGGAGACCGAAAGGCCGAGACTAGAAAAAGCCTCTGACATATTCACCTGTTCCCCAGAGCTCTTTTCCCATGGCCCACAACAGTGTCCCGCCTGACCTGATAGGAACCGCGGAGAAAGCCCCTGAATGACATCATACACACACACACAAACGCCTCCTACAACAGACTTGTTGTCTGACTAAAGATCTCCTTTATTCCTGCAACCTCGTCTTAATTTTTTTAAATTAGTTTGTATTTGGGCCACCTAGATGTGATTTTATTTCTTCCAAGATGCCATTTTCAGTAGTTTTTTTTGTTGTGTGCATGATTCCTCCATATCAAAATAGTCAGAGATGTTCTTGTACATGTTAACATTAGGAACTTGCACTTAATCACTCTCATATTTTGTGAATTCAGGAAAACACCCGACACAGAATCTTTCATATCGAGAGTGTGCTGTGTGAACTGCATTGGAATAAGAATTGATTAAATTGACTCTTCTGATATCTTTATAGTTCATTTAAATATATATATGTATATAGCCCACTACAGTTTTAATTGTGGTGTACACTTAAATTGATACCCTGCACTAAATTGGAAGATGTGCACTTGCTGTTTAACTGAAATGTAGGTACGGGATGAAACCATATAAGAAAACACACGGCAAGTATTGTTACTATGGAAATATCATATAATATAAGAATATTTATTCAATTAAGTGCGAAACAGTAAAATATTTACAACAGTACAATATGACAAAAACCGTGACACAAAATGAACCAGTACCTGAAAGACCTCAAATAAATAAATTAAATACAGTACAGCTGCTCATGACAGACAACAAAACCAAGAAAACAGTGAGACAAAATCAGTGTGGAAAAAAATATAAAAAGGACAAGACATTATCAAAATAAATATTAAATATAAATAAATGCATTGGGGTTTCTTGTGGCAAGGGGGACATTTGCTGTAGTCCTCAGTCCCAGGTTTAGGGTGAGACCTTCTTTATGCAGGCATGCAAAGTTCTTTTGTTCATTTTCTACACTTGAAACATCTGTGTAATGCATCAGTGCGGATGTCTGATTCGGTCAAATGATCTTTAGTCACTCAGTCAACTGAAGGGGCAACTTCTTCAGACATAATTACAATCAAAATTAAACATAATCATAGCTAAAAAATAATAAATAAAATAATAACAGTTATGGGTGCTTGTTTGTATCAGGTAGATTGAGTTTAGGTGGTGAGTCTCTCTCGGAGTGTTTGGTGCTCTTGCAGGGTACTAGACGACATACTGCAAACCATTTATCTCTACCATCATGTTTACAGTTGCACTTCATTTAAGAGCAGTGCTTCTCATTTCATTGCAGAGTCAATCACCGGGCCTCTTAACTGTTCATGGTCACATTCCCGATGTTGCCCATCTGAGAGGCCAGGTGAGCGGGAGCGAAGGAGTCAAAGGCCACGTCCAGGGGCAGCTCATAGCGGGATGCTTGAAAAAGAGGGTGGACCTGAGGCCCTCCTGGTAGGCCGCCATTCACGGAGGTGGGGTAATGGTGGGACGAGAGGTAGTGGGCGTGGTGGCCGAGGTGGGATGTGTAGTTCCTCTCCGACTCGCGTGGAGAGGGCTCCTGCTTCAGGGCAAAGTTGCCGCTGATGCTCAGGGGGGGAGTGAGGGGTCCATCGTATGGTGGAGTGCCACTGCTGCACTCGTTTGGGGAGGGGTTGTCATATGGCCCCTTGAATCCCTTCATGTGGAGGAGGTGGGAAGCCTCCAGGGAGCCGTAGGGGGGGCTGGGAAGGCCTGGAGACGGATAGCTGAGGGGATGGGTAGCCTGACCTCCCGCGCCGCCCATCGCCGGGCCTCCACACTTATCGTCCATCTTGCTGTGCATCATGGGACTTGGTCCCAGCTGCAAGCAGCCGGCCACGAGGTTACTGGTGGGCTGAGACAGACCTTTACACATCATCTCCACAAAGCCATGGCTCTCGGGGGACTGGCCGGTCTCAAGCGAATCCGACAGAGCCCAGATGTAGTTGCGTGCCAGCCGCAGAGTCTCAATCTTTGACAGCTTCTGCGTCTTGGAGAAACAGGGCATCACTCTACGCAGACTTTCCAGGGCATCGTTGAGCCCGTGCATACGTGACCGCTCTCTGGCGTTGGCTTTGACTCGCCTGGTACGAAACCTCTCCTGTCTTGCTTTGGTCATTTTCTTCTTCTTAGGGCCTCTCCTTTTGGGAGCCTGTTCTCCATTGGGTCCAATCTCTTGCTCCTCTTCGCCCTCCTCCTCCTCTTCTTCCTCCATATCCTCACTGCCCAGTTCTGTGCAGGAGCGGATTCGTCCACCCAGAGTCAGGCCTTGGCTTTCCTCTCCATCCTGTGAGCTGCCGTCATCCTCCTCGAGCCAGCCGAGGGAGCTCACCAGCTCACTCACATCCCCACTCTTTCCAAATTGTTTGGTCATCATTTTGATCTGAAAAATAGCAGAAAGAAGGTGTGTCAACAGCTAGAGCCTCTAAGAACTAAATATAAATGCATGATGCTTCTCCGTAAAATGTACATGTGATAATAAGATGTTGTATTGTAATAGAACAGGAACTTAAACCAGTGCCTGACTTAGTGACTGGAAAATCTTATCCCATTGATAACAGAATGAGCACTCCAATAAGTCCTGAGCTTTCAACAGCTCACTTCTCTTTTGAAAAACTGGTGGCAATTGTCAAAGCTATTTGGAAGAAGACCCGTAATCTACTCAAAAAACATGTGATACTCTGATAATAAGGGATTGATGGCCCTATTGAGAATAAATGCCCCTCTGTTGTTATAGTCGCTACAGTTCTGTGCGTCAATCTGGGACACAAAAGGATTTACTTGCCATAAAGCTCATAAATAGGTCACATAAAACTCAACACACGTGTTTTTTTGAAGAATAATGCAAATAATGCATTTAGCCCAAACACTAGAATTCGGGCTATTAAAAGCATTTCATTATTTATTTGACAGATGGTTTTCTATTGTTTTGAAAGAAAAACATGTCCCAATTATTGTCGTATTATGTGGGACAAAAATGAGACAGAACTTTAAGCACGCAATTGAACCTGGCCTAAATTCCACTGGACATAATTAGGCTTAAACAATTGGCACTTCTATTTCAGTTTATTGAAAATGGATATCAAATTTAGAAAATTAAGGGTAGTATATTTTTTTTCTGCCCCATAAAAGACAACATAAAGTGGACGTGCTAAAAGACTTACGACCACCAATGAGATCCATTTGGGACCTTTTTCTTTATACTGAACTGATGATGAAAAAAAATGTCTCACCTGTTGGAATTTCTTGTCGGTGAAAAATAAAAGGAACACCAGTCTAATTCAAAAAGATCTGCAGCGGAGTGATTTTTCCCAGAAAATGTGCGTTTCTCTCTGAGCGCATGCGCTAGGCTTCCTCAGATAAACATGAGCGCGCGTCCAACTTCTTTCTGCAACTGACACGATCGGTCTGATATGAGGGCCTTTAGCCGGTTAAGCTCCTCCCCCCCAGGCGCGCTGCCCACTCCCAACTCAGCCAGACGCGCGTGGCAGGCTCGTGGCCAGAAGTTTCATCCAGCAAAGAGCGGTGGGGGACAGAGGTGACACGGGTGCGCGCCCGTGTGCACGAGTATAGACCGCGTTTCATTCGTGAATGATGAGTTCGTGAGGCACAGGGAGGGTTTCGGGTCAGTGTAGAAAATGCGTACACATTGGAAACCACTTGGATCCTCATTACGGCCTCTATACATTATGAGTAAATGAGTATATCTTTGAGGGAAGTTTAAAGTAGTTTTTATCCACATTCATGACACTTTTTAGCCACAGATTCTTTGTCCATTATCACACAAACGCAAACTTGCTTAGTTTCATTTCACACTAAACAACCAGCCTTAAACATTTAGGCTTCTCTTTGTAAGCTGGTTATTTTTTTGGTTAGTTACTGGAAAAGTGTTTTTGGCGCAATTCATAGCAAAAAAAGCAGGAACGAGGGACAATATTAACTTAAATACACTCGCATATCACAGTCCCCTCCTGAAAATACCCAACCCCCCAAAAAATCGCATATATTCTGTTTTAAAACCGCGTGTTAAACCATCTTAATCGATTGTCCATCTCTTCATTAGTCGCTTGGATTAGGAATTTTCCACTTAGTTAAACACAGTGTGGGCCTGCTCCTCGCCGAGTAAAGAGACGCGCTTCCATGTGTGCGCGCGTAAGTGATGTTGACAGCTTAGTGTGCAGAGAGCAGGTGTGTGCGTTGTTCATCCACTTATTCAATTGTTTTCTTCCATTTTTAGCGCCATATTCTGTCCCCGGGGGCTATCTGCGTGTTGGGTCGATTGGAGCAGTGAGTAACGGACTGGTACTTCATGGGCTCATCGAGTGACCCCTGCGCGCGGCACTGTAAACGCAGTCATTCTATTTTCTGATAGTCAATTAAGTAAATTAGCAGGATAAGCTAATTATCAATGTAATGTACATCTAGTTGTTTTATTTGTCCGCAACGTTGTAAAAGTTAAGTATCACTTTCCTGCGCGGATTTCTTCCACGACTATGTGTTGTTTTTGTACACTAATCGTTCCTAAATTTACAGCGTTTCGACCGTAAATACCACGGGGACAACAAACGGCCGCGCGTCGCGGTGCGTGGCGAGCCGCAGCTCAGCGGGGGTCTTTTGTCACCACCGCATTGACAGGCGGGGTCTCGCGAGGTGCACGTGTCCCCGCATTGATAGCATTGTGCGCGCATTGGTGCACAGCTGTGTCCGAGACTTGCACTGAACTTTGCCAACTGCACTGTTGGTTCCCCGTGTTTCTGAGCGTGCGATGCATTTGCATGTCTGAGGCATAAGATGTGGTCACGTGGCTAATCTGCAACATCGCGCAAGCAACAAAAAAAAAAACAGGCACTTATCCAACGATTAATTGAACGGACCCGAACAGATGGCTGGATATAGGAAGCGTTGGGGGGGAGGGGGCATCTGTTGCTTGGATGCTCACGCGTCACCGCCCAACCACGATGATGTCTCGTGCTGAAACAGCATTTATCCACCCCGCCAACGGCCCTAATCACTCCTGGTCAGTGCACTGGCCACACAGGCATGTGGACAGAGAGAAAACTGCGCCCTGCCGCGTGCATGTGCATGTGTGTGTGTGTGTGTGGGGGGTAGTGTTGCCCCCATGATGCCCTACAGCAACAACTTTAATGTGACGTGTCTGAAGGTCCCCAGGTATACGCATCTCCCAACACAAACCACACAGGCACTACCCTTCTGTCCCATGAGTGCAGCACGGCCTCCACCACACCTGCAGCCTGCGTGGGGAATTGGAGTCTCGCAGTCTCCCACAATCCCCATTGGTTTCCCAAATGACTGACTGACTGACTGACTAACAGACAGGGAATTGTGTCCTGCTCCCATTTAAGTAGTAACATAGATAAGCAGCCTTCTGGAAGAGGTCATGGTGAACACATCTGATCTTTGCAGGATTTTAACCCTCCGAAATATTTATCTAACAAATAGAAGTTTTATCAAAGTTATGCGGTTAATTATATATGTAGTCAATATAGGAAAATATTCCTATGAAAACGGCTAGACTTGTTAAATGGCTTGTTCAATTTAGACACAAGCTGTCCAAACTCTTAAGATCTACCAGTCTCACATTATTTTAGTGCTGTTGTTGTTATCAATGGGAGTAACCTCCGCCTTCCAAAAAAAAACGCTGCCACAAGTGAGTTGTCTCTCGCTCTGGTCCCCTGGGACTCAGCGTGGAATGGGAGGGATTTGTGTGCTGCACTGACAGATGGGTCCTTGTTCCTGTCTTTTTCTTCATCTCTATCTCCCTCTCCCTCCTTCGCTAAAACACAGACACACTCACACACACCAAGAGTGCACCAATACAATAGGAATTAAAGCTCTGCACACATGCTCCCTGGACCGCTTCTGAAAGCTGAGCCCCTTGTAGTGATCATAAAAGATGGAGGGAGCGTGGATTTGCAAGAGGGGTTGGCTCGGTGAGAGGTGGGGGTCATGTGGCACGGGATGGTGTGAGAGATGACATCGTATTGTTGTCAAACCAACAATAAAAGTTGGTTGTGTCAACCATTTTCCCAAGTTTTTTTTCTTTAACACCTTTGGGAGAATTTTCTTGTGCATGTGCAAGTTTTTCAATTGTATTGCTTATTGCTGTGTGTGTGTGTTTGAGAGAGAGTGTGTCAGTCCCAGGGCTCAGTTCTCTCCATTTGCTGCTCACTGAGGCTGAATATTGTTGGAGCAGACTTTGCTGGAGAGACTGACAGCCTGACTGCTGCACACAGGGGAACATCAATGCTCTGACACACAGTTGTGAATCAAGATGTTTTAACTCCAATCAAATCCCTTGGTATTTGATATTTACACCATTCCAGTTTTGATATTATTGTTAATGTCAATATTTTTGTTCAATATTTCATATCAGGAATCAGGAAACATTTATTGCCATATGTCAGACATACAAGGAATTTGACTTGGCGGTGCCTAACAGCACACAGTACGAAAATGGACGACGAGACAAGACAACATATTTAAGTCTAAATGTTGAGTCATTCTAAGTGAAAGTGAAACCTCAAGCCATTTTTTTATTCTTCTTAATATGACGTTATCTGCTAGTGAATTCCAAACTAATTTATACTTTAAGCTCACAATATGATTTGAGGCCGAGGCATGTTTCCAGTGTGCAGCCAATGTTAAAGCTTTACACGCAAACACACATGATGCATCACAGATTCCAAAAAGAAACAGCTTTTAAAAAGGACAGACACTGAATTAATAGCCCACAGACGAGTGGACCATGATCTCCATCTCCTTGTGTAGAAATATAATCCCGTGTTTTGACTTGAAGCTGGCATTTGCTCTTTTTTCCAAATGGCTTCCTGTATCAATAAAACAAAGATATCCACAACTTAAAGATGTTTGCTTTACAAAGTCTTGATAAGATCTAGCAGAATCTCATCCAATAAAAGCAGATTGTGTGCAAGTTATTCCTCTTCCTTTGGGCTAATGGATTTGGAAAACATTCCAATTGGGTAGAAATGTAGCTACAGAATGAGAATCATGCCTGAGGGCAATTCTCACTAAGTGGGGAGAGAGCCACTAAACAAAGGTGCCTGTGGTTTCATATTCAGGATACTTTACAACCTCCGTCCCAGGACATCAACAGTGTTTTTGGGTGTGCTGTTAGAGGGGCAGACGGGGGGGAGGAGGATCCATCTGCCATGTAGCCGGTCCTCTGGGAGACGGGCATATCCCAAGGGTGTTTTGGAGAGAGAGGGGCTGAAAGGATTACACCCAACCACTAATCAACGACGGTAATCTGTGGGCCCCCGTGCAAAATCCCCACCGATCCAAATAACAATTTGGGACAGAAGAAAAAAAGCCTCCGCGTACTGGGGCATTTAACTGATGTCGTACAACCTGACAAATCCAAGGACAAATCCAGGTGATTTTTAATTGGGAGACGCAACGGTGGAGGTGTGATTGGCAGAGAGCCATCGTGTCTGTGATCAGGTGCAAGTGTCCCACAAGTGGCCTCTGATTCCCAGTGTGACCATTATGCAAATACAACTACGCAAGCTCGCACCATAAATTAGTCTAACGGAAAAAAGCACTTTTCTAATCAAATCAGACTGGAAAAAGGGTTTTCTCTCATTTTGGGGGATGTAAACTAAAAATAATAAAAAAATATGTAAGAACTTATTTCACACAGTTTCAAACAGTTATTTATTTGTCATTTCCCTAAAGGATTCAGACATCACTACCACTGGTCTGTAGTCCTGAACACGAGGGTCCAACAGCTCATTTCATGTTGTCTCGAGGTGAGCCCTGCAGGAAAGATCTCCCTGAGCCGTCCAAAGCGTTTGAAATTGCGTGAACCTACACAAGGTGCAGCTGCTGAGCTTATTGTCCTTGCAGGTCTATCCGTCCGATAAAAGAATAGCAGGGAATCAAGTTGCCACTAGTTTCATGGTCCCTTGTCAGTATGGTTTTGATGTCTGGGGTCTGGATCTGGATCTGGTAGTGGTGGATTTAAAGCTCCGCAGGACTATAGAAGACGCTGCCTAATGATGGTGCCAGTCCTCCGGGGCATAGGGAACCGGAGCATCCTGGCCTGCACCACCTCTACCTCCTGCAGTATGCCCATTGGCTAGGCAGCCTCTAAGCCGCCTTTTCCCATAGCCTCATTGTTTAGTAGGACCAACACTGTCAATATTAAGCCCGGCTAATGTGATCTAGAGGCAGCTGGAGCAGCCCAGATTATTACCATGACACAGCCGACTGAGGGGTGTAATATCATTAAAAATAAATCAGGTGGTTTGGAGATTTGCCGTAGCATGGGGGACTTTGAATGGCATTAAAGTGGTAGAACTGCCGTAATTTCATCAGTCAGTTGAGCACCTCAATGGATCTCTTGAAACATTTCCTCTAAATTCGAGAAACTTAATTTAATTTCACAACACCGTTGACAAAATTGCAGAGAGGCAAAACGGGGATGGTAATATTTCCAATTAAGTGTCTAATATTTCGCTAAATCAATTTCAGACAAGTTAAGAACTATGCAGACACCTGGGGTAGATTCATATTTCAATTTGCTCATTTTGCTATACTACTTTAAGAGCAGACAGCCAAGTTATTCGTATTGCTATTATTAGCCTCTTGTGGTGGATTATTGTTGCAAATGAGGAGGAAAACGTGAGGCACTGCTAATCTTCTTAAAGTGTTTGCCACTGAGCTGTCTGCTCGGCAGACTCATCAGCAATCAGCTGGCAATAGGCTGCAGGCTGACTGAATCTATTAACATTACAAACAAAATAAAATAATAAAAGGCTATATTGTCGCTTTTTCTTCATGTTATGTAGATACTCTGGATGATTTTGTTAGGGGGGGGATTTTTTCTCAGTTTGCATGTTCGATCTATTATTGAAGCACCAGGAGTGCCGTTGGTCTCGCAGCAAGGGTCTTATGTCGCTATTGTTTTGACGCTCGACCCACATAAACGGTCATTTCAAGGCCCATTGAACGCACGATGGATTGTTCCCAAATCCACTGCGGAGTCGGCAGCATTGATTATTGGAGGAAAGGGTAGAGTGACGCCAGAAGATGTCGATTGGTTTGCTCCTCAGTGAAGTTAAATTCAATCATTGAGTATAGAAGTGCCTCGCTAAAAGTTCTATTTAACTTAAGCACAAAAGTATCAGGCCACCAAATATAGACCCAGTCCAACCCGTGGTCCTACCAAGAGAAAATGGAAAGACAGAAAAGGGGTTGTGCAAAATGACTTAATGAAATTGTTAATTATGTAGGATAAATCATTTTATTGTATAATGGTTGATACATGCTAATTTGTGTGGGTTTGTAGTATTATTGAACTGAATCTGCAAAGTAACTCAAGCTGTAAAATGAACAGAGTTGCGTAAAAAGAACAACATTTTCCTTGTATAAAGTATAAACTACGTAGAAAATATAAATAATAGCGTAATGTAAAAGTACTTCCAAATTCTGCTTAAGTATATTGGCTATTTGAAATGTTGCCTCTCAACCACTGGAGGAGCAGACAGACTCGGAGATAGAAGTGCGATGCACCATCATCGTTTTTAGCATTTTATTTTTTTCCTCTGTTGTATCAATACATCAACATCTATGAACTCAACAAATAACAGCTTTTTTGGAACAAGTTGAAGCCAAGAGCATTAGTTGTGTCTTCCTGTTGTATAATGGTGCCATCTAGTGGCTCTATTATGAACAACTGTAACCTTTTTGGCTCTGCCATGCTGTATACTGTGTTTTATATTCATGCTGTATACTGTGCTTTATATTCATACTGTATACTGTGCAGTGTATCATCTGCAGTGATGCATTGTGTTCTGTAAGATTGTTATATGTCGGTAGCATCACCTTCTGGTTAAAAACAGAAAAAAAGATTAACTGTTATATTTTGGATCCATTTGGATCTATTCAAATGCTAACCGTGCCAATTCAGTAAAAAAACACCTATGCTAATCTCTAACTTGGCAAAAAGATAAGCTTCCATATGTGGACATTTAATATGACCAGCAACTCTGGCAATTTATTGTGTATAAATAATTGGCATTCTAGGACAATTTCTAATTAGCCACATGCTGATTTAAAACACAGAATATGTCCCTCCTTATAACCTTTCATTACAGGTGTGAACATATATAAGCTACTGGGTAAAATCATTCTCTACTCCTCTGCTACTCTGTCCACCTCTGCCTCATAGCTGCCGGTCCCTGACCATCATCAGCGTCATCAACCTGCCCCCTCCTCCCCCTCCCCACAGCTCCACAGGACATGCACACTTATAGCTCACCTCCTCTCAGCCTCTCATACCAGCAGCTGGTGCAGAGATTCTACGTTTTTTGGCTGCCCTCGAGGTTAGGAATGGCTCCTAAAAGAGAATCCTCCATTAAGAAGTCTCCTTCTCCGGTGACTCAGCCCAGGCTGGGTCCTCCTTACCCCTGCCTCCCCGTGGCTGCTGCAGATCCAAAACCAGCACCAGAACAGAGACCCAGGATGCTGCGTGCTTCGGATTCCCCGTTTGACCCCACTGCTTTGGAGGTGAGTGGAGTTCAATACGGTACGATTTTTCACGACTGATCTAATGCGGGCATTTTGGACTACGAGTAGAAAGCATGTACTATTCATCACAGCTATGAGTTTGTGTACAGCGTCAAGCTTCAATTCAAAAATCAATTGTCATTTGTTTGAGTTCAGCGATGATTCGCGGCGTAGCTGCTTTCTACGATACTGACTTGAATAAACCGCCAGCATTGATCTGCAATGGGACTGAATCTAAGATAAGCGAAGAAATGGGGCACTGAAAGTGAGAATGTCAGTCAGTGGCCTCCCCAGGGAGAAAGAGGATATTTCTGCTGCCGCAGTGTTTGCTGGTTCAAGTAATCAAGAGATTCCAACTAATTAATAAGACCTGCACACCTATTGCTGTTATATGTTTTAAAAGAAGCAAAATATGACATTTACCCTCAAAGGGAGGACATTTTTATTATTCACTTGATTAATAATTTAGACAGGTTTTGCTTGACCCATTTTTCAAAGCTAGAGACGGGTTGCAAAGAGAACGAACCTCCCCATCTGTGAGATGTAGGGCACAGTACAAAACTAACTTGAGGCCCTTTGTCTATATATCATTTTACAGATATATTACAGGTACATGTCTTTGTAATGACACATGTTGGCTGACACATAAGGCATTGAGCAAATATAAAAATGTCTTTTATTTTGAATACCTGGAAAGTAAATCAATATCAAGTTGATACATGTATTTAGCGAATAACAAGTATCAACAGATTTAGGAAGTTAGTAAATGAAGTAAGCGCCTGTTAACATCTCATCAGTCCAAGTGATTGGTATTCTCAGGTCAAAGGATAGATCAATTGGAGAAAACATGAATGTGAAGATGTGTTAAAGAAACTCAAACTACACTGATGCCCACATTAGACCTTGGACTAATGTGCTTGTGTCTTTGCTTGTGCTTCAGCTTTGCTTCCATTCTTTAGTGCTTTACGTGTTACATTGTATTGCTGTTACTATGCCATTTTATGGAGCGAACCCATTTAGCCTGCTAAGTTATGTGGGCCGTGATACAATGTTCACTTCCGCTCACAATGGGACAACTAGCCAGAGTTGAGTGCTTAAAACACATGGCATCAGTCCATGATCTCACAAGCCTAAAGCAATCCTTCCTTCCATCATGGCAAGACATCCACATCCTTATTGAAAAGTCATTCAGTGCAGTCAAACTGAAACACACACTATAGGCCAAGTATTCTTCAACAGTACATCTTTTAAAACATGTATATATATATATATATATATATATATATATATATATATATATATATATATATATATATTAAAGATACCCTATGAGATCTACTACATCGTGACTGACAGTGAACCTTGATAAAAACTCTTAATTCACTGGCGCTATTGAAAGACTACTTGACACATAATGTCTCCTCCTTCATTCATTTGATCATGTAGTTCACTCCAAGCGTGCATTGGGGACATCTAATTTGAACAATGGTTATGATGTCACAAGAACTTTATTACCTTGCAATCAAATTTAAGGTGTGCACAACGAGCAAAGGAACATGTAATAGCGAGTGGAGAGGGGCTATAAATCCATGCATTAAATGTAAAACCAGGAGGAACAGAATAGGTGAGACAGAGGTCTTTTTGCCTCCTGTCTGTTAAATGAAATAGTTAAACAGCTGTATAATACACGTAACCCAGCTGCCACCTCAATCATAGAGCAGTTCAAGCAGCCTTAGGGAACATAACTAAGGTGCTGTAAACCACGAGCCATACCTTTATCTCCATTCCTATATATGGAGCGGAGCGGTTCGCCCGCGTGCCTGGACGTCGTGCGTCCTACGTCATGACGCAGTGCCGCCATAGTCCGCTGGGTTTCCGCCTCCTCACCCAGCCCTTCTCTAAAAGCCGTCACACATTCTTTGGTTTTCCGACTTCTCGGACACACCTCAGCCAGTACAGACATGGTGGGTTTTGGATTTTTCTGCTCCCTTCGACTTTACTAGGATAGCAAGTGTTCTTGTGTAATTATCTTATTGTCTCAAGTCAATGGTTTAGCTTTTCTAAATACGATAAGTTGAGTTTGAATGTGTGAATTGGCTCGCGGGTGGCTAGCGGAAGTGCAACTTTTGAGAAGCTAACATTAGCTCGCACGGTAGATAAAGTTAACGTTCACACGACGAGCTAATTAAGGTCCTCTAAATACCTGCGTGTATATTATGCGCTGCTGAATGTGTTACTGTTACGGAATGTATCGTTTGAGTCAATCTAACTATTCGAAAAAACATGTCCAAACGCTTTCGAAGTTACCCAAAGCTAGCTTGAGTATTGCAAAGCAAAGGGAGTCGTAATCATGTAGCCTAATTTCTCTTTGAACAGTCTGACTTCTCGGAAGATCAAATCCTTGGTGAGTTATGAATTTTGTGTCGTGACATCTCTTAGATCTCTTTTGCATGCTTTCATTCTTGCTTGGTCAGTGGGGACACTCTTTCCCCCCCTTATCTCCACTATCACCCTGCTCTCTGTCCGCCTGTCACAGCCGCGAGTCTTTAGGCGAGGATATCCTTCTTGATTTCTGTTCTGTTTCATCACTGTCCACTTGCAACTGCTTGTCCTTTCCAGATTGAGTTTAACCCGGATCAGATTCATGGTAAGTCAGTGAGAGGGGACCGCCTTAGCTGTAACCGATGACTATCTCGGCCGGCGTGTTTAGGGTGTGATCTGCATGTAAACCTAACGTTAACCTGTTTAAACTGTTACACGGAGTCGCTTTGCACTGTTGTTTGGTCCGTCACAAGTCAGTCATGTGTCATTTAACGTAATGATAACTTTGATCGTGGTGTTGCAGTGTTTTTGTATGTGCGCAATAATGCATATGTATAAAGTCAAATGTTGCCGAAGTTGGTATCTTGTTATCATACGTGAGTCCTGGTCGTGTCCGTTTGCCATAAGCTTCTCTCCAGAGCGACGCATCTTCCAGCGTGCCCTTTTTTGGTGTTTGACACGGTGGTGCATGTTTTTGTCCTTCGGCTGCTTTGTTTAATCTCAGTTGACATAATTGGCTGTAGCTGCTCTCACCCCCCCCCCCCCCCCCCCCTCTGCTCCACTCCTCTACTACCAAATATGGCGTTGGGAAAAGTGCTCGCATGCCAGAAGGGAAGAGCCACATTCCTCAGAACAGGAAAAAAAAGCTACACAACAGTGCCTGGGCTTTTTGGGAAATGGCTTGTCTGCAACATTCGGACCAGACTACTGTCTGGATACGGTGTAATCTGCTCACTAAATTTCAGCTGAGCTTTTTGTTTGACTGTTGACTCGATGTAGAATGTATGATCAAAGTCACAGTAATCACTGACAAGATCACATCACTGCTGATGGATGATAAAACCTTTGTTGTTTACACTGGTGTACAAAAACACTCGATGCGTAGCTACTTTCATGAAAGGGAAGGTAGTGATCAGTCTTATTGACTGTAAAGCAGTATTTAGTAGAAAAACAAACCACATAAGGTTTAGGAAAGAAGCAACCTTTAAGATCATCCTGTCATATATTACACTTTATGAATCTGGTAATATGCGTTTAACTAAAACTGAGAAATACCGACTCATTAATTTATTGATTGCCACCAGAAGATGGGCAATGTATTAGTTTGTGTATCAAGTGTCCTGTCTAACTAATTGTTTGCATTATAACTTTCACATTGTTTAATCAAATACATTTTCACCTGTGTTCTGATTAATATCTAAATTTCTCCTTAACCGTTATCTTCACTTTAAAAAAAAATGTAATGTACTATATCCATGTTTGCTTTTGGTTCTTTATTTAATGAATCCTACACACATTTACCATTTTAAGCCTTTTCCATTATATTCAGTCTAACTTTACACTGTTTGACCTAACCATGACAGAACATGTAGTTTTGCACTCAAAGTTGATTCACCTGTAGTAGTCGAGCTGTAGTAAGTCACAGCCCAGCCAGATGACCGACGTGGATATGAGTTTTTTTTGTGATGTCAAAACGCAGTGTGTGAGTGTAGAGAGCGATCTGTTGTTGCAGTGGTTGCACCAGTCTGGGTAGCGGTCAGGGTAGTGAGAGATATGTGAAAGCCTAGAAAATGAGTTTAAGCTTCCCCATAGATTTCTACAACTATTATTACATCTTTTCTCTGGGGGAAACCTGCAGGAGCTATCTTGCCTTGAGCAGTATGTGAAGCATGTGCTGGATGGTCAGTGTAGTGCTCTGTGTCCTGTCTGCACAAATGTAGGCCTACCAGCATAAGACCAGGTCATGTCCCAGTCTCTCCTTCTGTTGTCATTTACTGGCTTTTCTGATTTCAGCTGTTTCCATGTCTCTTACTGTCTCCAAATCATTCCTCTGCACATTTCTGTTTATCTCCATTCAAAAGATAGATAATGCACATCTATATTCTAACTTGTCTTGTGTCTCTGTACCCTGCAGAGTTCAAGGAGGCATTCTTGCTGTTCGACAGGACAGGAGATGGCAAGATCAGCTTCAGCCAGTGTGGGGACGTCATGCGGGCCCTGGGACAGAACCCTGTCAATGCTGAGGTGCTCAAGGTCCTGGGAAACCCCAAGGCTGAGGGTGAGAGGGAAAAAACCTTTATGGCTGTTATCTGTTTTTATGCACATAAATAAGAAAAATGTCACTGTTTGTATTTCTTTAGTAACCACAGAGTTTTTACTGCAGCTGGAAACTAAGGCATTCCTCGTTTGTTTTTATTTTTCCAGAGATGAACCTCAAAATGATGGACTTCGAGCAGTTCCTGCCCATGTTCCAGGCCATCGCTAAGAATAAAGATCAGGGCTCCATGGAGGATTTTGTGGAGGGACTGCGTGTCTTTGACAAGGAGGGCAACGGCACAGTAATGGGAGCAGAGCTTCGTCACGTCCTCACCACGCTAGGCAAGCTGCCATTATATCACGCTTGAGTAGAAAGCTGGATGGGAATTTAACGTATACTCTAATTCCATTTTTTCTTTCACAAAAATTCTGTTACCCCCAAAATGTATGTTGTCATTTCAAAAAATTATTTGCTGAAAATTAAATCTACGTTATACACTTTTAAAAATACTTTATATACAATATACTGTTATATTTTTGCACGTTATTTATCTGGTTTTCAGTTTTTTATTTTTAGTGTCATTCCATTTACTTTTTAACTTAAGTACCAGTATGCTTATCTTTTATTACTTGGTCGTTTGTAAAATCCTTGGTCCTACTTTATTTATTTTATTTTTTTTAGATCAAGATAATCTCACCCATGTAATGTTTTCAATTTGTTATTTCAGGTGAAAAAATGTCAGAGGAGGAAGTCGAGACGCTTTTGGCGGGACACGAAGATGCCAATGGCTGCATCAATTATGAAGGTAAGAGAAATAAACGAGAGATGGATACTTGCCAGGATTTGTTGCTGCAGACCCACTATGCTTAATGAAACCTCACACCCAGTATTTGCCAATGTGCTTGTCAGCACTGGCCTTTTTATACGGTTGTGCTAAAATGTAGTTTGTTTTCTGTAAAACCTACAGTGTTTGCCCAACCATTGTCCTCAGGGGGTCCTCCCGCCCCCGGAAAGAAAAAAACAACATTTTTGATTCACAGGATTTATTGACCTTCTTTTATTCCATCCTGGTCTTTTGTTTGGTTTGCTGTCATGCTGGTTTCTCTCGGCTTTGCACGCTCCATGTGTAAGCAGGGAGATCCCATTCAAACACTGGTCATCCAATCACTTGTTGCCGCTGTGTTTCAATGTCAAGCTGGAAAAAAAAAACGTTTAGGCTCAAATATGTCGGCGGTGTTAAACAGTCAACCAGGCATAAATGTTTTCCTGGTAATGGCTGATTGTCTTACGATGTGGGTATCCATCCTGTTCACTGTCTCTTATGAGTCTATCTCCTGTGGCTAATTGACTGGTGTAAGAGCTCATGTATAACAGTGTGTTAAATGTTCTTCCTCCACAGCATTTGTCCGCCACATCATGTCAGGCTGAGGGCCGGTACGGGCATTCGGTATACCATGAGATCTCATCTGCAGGCTTTCCTTCATTTCTAGTTTTTCAATAATCCTCCCATCAGGCCACCCTAACACTTATTGGCTGTAGTTGTGCTTCATCATTTGCAAACGCGGAACAATGTGCTGTTGCAGAGTAGATTTTGACCTGTAGGTCAAAAATCCCATTTGACCTGTAGGTGTCTGGGGAAGCCTTGTGCTCCCTCTTGTATTCCCTTGTGAGGCTTGGACCCATGCGTCGCCTCCTGCTGCTCTGCCTGTCTCCCATAAAGCCCTCCTGTCTTGGCCCCTGGCTGCCGCATGCCCCTCCGCCTGGTAGCCAATGGTCGCGTTATTTGATGGCTTTGGAGGTCATGATGCAGCTCTCATTTGCATGTCATTTGCACTATTTGAAATGGTCTGTTTGCTCTGTTAGTGTTCGAGGTGCTGCTCTTATGAAAAAGATAACGTGCACAGTTGATTACATTGAGGACATTTTTCTTACATTTGAATATAGGCACCAGTTTTGGGAGAGTGGACCAGTCCCCTTTCTACTAACTAAAGAAATGCAAGGAGTTGCTCTAGTGCTGATTTTATTTTCTCCTCCTCACTTATGGAAGCTGAATTTGTAGCTGGCCGCTGTCTGACTGGACTTAGTTCCCTTGAGCGTCTTCCCTTTTTTCTCTGCTTCTCAACTAGAGGAAAGCATTCAGCGAGGATGGCTTCTCTAACCAGCTCTTCTTGGATCATAGACCTGGCCAGGTGCTTTGGCTGAATAGGAGATGGGAGATGCCTCACATCTTTCTCTCAGTGCCATCTTCAACCCTTCTCCCCTCTGGGTGACCAGAGCACGGGGGATCTGCCACGCAGGGTTCACACCACGACTCTCACGCCCGTCTCTCTCTTGTGTCTTGTTTTGCAGAACTGGTCAGGATGGTCATGAACGGGTGAAGACGAAGAGCCACCAACTTTTTCTACCCGGTCATATGTAACCCCCTTTTTTCAGTTTGCTTCTACATCACCGCTCCCTGCCCTCCCCCAACCTCTTCCATACATTGGTTTTCCACATTCATTTGATTTAAGAAGTGCCTTTACATTCCCTACAAAGACCACAAATGTCCCTGGCTATTGCTGCCAGGGACATTCATGTATGTGACCAACGTGTGTGCATTCAGGAGTCTTGATGCTTGCATCCTTTGCAATAACATTCCAAGATGCAGCATTAAAAAGGACATAAATTGCTAATGATATACTGTAAATATTGATACCAGTGTGTCAATTCAGGAGGGGACTTTAATATATATATGAATATAATTATACATCCGCGGTATACAACTGTCAGCAACTTACTGTATCATTGACTAAGAATTTATTTGGCTGGGAAATACGTTTCTCCAATCCTGCGGGTTTTTTCCGGTATATTCAAAACCATATTATCATGCAAACATTTCAAATGGATTCCCATGTTTTTAATTCACCCCACCTTTGTTGCTGCATTTAATAAATGTTTTTTCCTGAAGACTCATTTTGATGGTTTTGACATTTGTCGAGCTTGAATGAATAATGTGCGTGTTATGGTCTGTCTTATTACAATGCTTTTGCATGGACACTAGAGGGCAGTGTTGCTCCTGGAATCAGCCAGTCCGAAGGACCACTTCATTCAGTGCATAATACAAGAGATGTATCTTAATCTGCTCTTAATCCATTTGTTTTGCTGTGTACCAGATTTTAAATAGAATTAATGTAAGCCATGGTGCTCAATATAGTCTTTTAATGGCTGTCTACGGCCTTTTCATAGCTTATTTGTTGCCATTGTTTATGGACATTACAAAGTCAAAACTAACCGAATTAATATTCACTTGGTAATTCTCTGTTGGTGTGCTTTTAATTCTTAAGGAATGATTCTATGACAAAATACTGATTTATGAGCAGTAGGCTGTTTGGGGGCTTCCTGACCTTTTCTTTCCCTCACAAGCAGCCACAACTATTTCCTCATTAGTGTGGGGGAGTCAGGAGGGTGTCATAGTCCACTGCTGGATAGCTTGTCCACTAATTACTCTGTGTGCGTGTGTGTGTGGTCGATGGAAGTCAAGGCTATTGATTATTTTAATCCTCCTATTTGTGAGTCTGTGATCCTCGTGGCTCTGCATTCGACGGGGGAATCGCTAATGGGCCTCGGCGCAGCCTGTCTCAGACCTCTCCCCGTCCAATTAACTTTCAACTGGAATCTGCCAGTGGAGGGAGCCCAGGGCCGGAGCCGGGCAGCGCTCGGGCTTCATCCCCCTTCCTCCGCTCAGGAGCAACAGATCCACCAAATCCTCCACGGCTACAACGCTGTCCGCTCTCCTCTCTAATTAGATGGTGTGCTTTTTGCCAGAGATCCGACAGGTATTTCAGAATCATTTTCTTTAGCACGGAGATGACGTCTCTTTAAGGAAGTGATTCTATTGGAGATTTGGATTGCTTAAATTAACCGGTGACATTAAGTAGAAAACAAACACATTAAAATTATAAGATCTGCCTTTAATTTTATACCACATATAATTGTAGTTTATGAGCAGTGTTCGGTGATTGTTTAATATAAAATCAACAGCAGATCCAATACAGGGTCGGTTCTTTAATGCCATATGTAATAAATTACAATTGGACTATAAATCTAAGGACTAAATGTATTAAAACCATTTGATTGAAATAGAGGCCTAACCGTGAGTTAGTTTAAAAAATATCCACCTTGTATATTCGGTACCTTCTTTTAATGGGATTTGTTTTTAAATTCACCTATAATACTATTGGCACACTGACAAACACACCAACATGATGACTAACTGTCAGACGGTTGATTGAAAATTAATCATAAATCTGTTGCCAAAATGTCTCCTCATGGATAAAGAAAGTCAAATATTTTTCAGGATCCAGCTTGCTCAAATGAAAGGATTTGCATCTTTCTAAAGGCATTAAGCTGCATGTCTTTGAGCGACAAAACAAGACGTTAGAAACCTTTCACTCTGGAAAATGTTCATCACATGGTTGTCATTTTGTAGACTTTTTAATCAATAATTAATGGAACTTAGTAATTGATAAAGTTCTGTTTTTAATTTCCCGTAGCCTTGTAGATATACTTTATCTATTCAAAGAGAGCGAGCACCGAGAGCTAAACCGTTTCTGTCAAGCGTCATCCATCAAACACTGAATCTATTTGGTTTGTTTGTAAAACTGATTATATGCAAGTTTAACTTACATCGGCAGGAGTTTGCAGACCCACGGTGTATTATGTGCAAAGATCAAAGTAGCAGTATTAATGTTTGTTTTAAGTGTCTTAACGCGTATTGGAAATCCATGTTGAGGCGGAGATGGCTGCGGGCAGACAGTAGTGATCTCAGCTGTAAGTCCACTATGTGTCATGTATCCAATTCTCCAGTTAGCCCAAGTGGTCACTCCAAATAAAACTGAACAAAGGTCTGCTTCTATTTATGAAGATTTATTATGACAACACGTGTCTTTATTCAGCCCTGACCACCCCGCCAAAAACAACGCCAAGAACACAGACGTGGTAGTTATAGATATTTTTAATAGCAGGCCTATTCAACGTACCTGTTGGCCCAATCCAGGATTACTGTGTCAATACATATGATGATAATTTGACAGGGTCTCTAAAAAATAAGGTAATAAGTAAATATGGCAGTGTGATTCCAGTAATATATTGTACAACATTTAATGTAACTAAAACACTACAGCTGTTACTCTTCAATGCCTCATTATACAACAATATCTATCCACTCAGTACTGACCACACACACACACACACACACTTTCTATTGTCAGTAGTGCACTTGGCACTTCATCACACAAGTGTCATCCATGAAATGTCTTCTAATATGTTTTGTTTTGTCTTGCTGTGATATCCTGCATCACGATGGGAAGAGAGAGAGACTTCTAACCTCTGTGTTTATTCAGATGGCCTAGTTTTGATCAGCATGGCCCCGAGGCAGGATGAAGCACAACAGGGATTTCCTTTCAACTGGTGTAATTCACTTAAGGGAATAACACATTTCACAATGACGAGTTGCGAAACGTCGGCCACTTTATCCGAAGTCGTTGGAACGACGAGCCGAAATGTGTAAGATAAAGTGCAATACTGCCAATGGGGCCTATTATTGCATTGAAAATAATAATATTCTGATGATTTATTGTTATATTGTAGTTCTCACAATGTCAGTTAATGTGGAACACACAAAATAATTTTAGATGTTTCCCAAGCCGGAGTGTGCAATGCTATGTGCACCAATACTGTACATCTTCTGCTATTCATATTTGCACAAAAGGTGCCGGTAGTGAGAGTTGCTGGCTCAAAATCACGCTACTCGACTTAGACTGTCACTCGGTACGCTCTTGTGTTGTAATCTCACTATGCCTGTGTGTGTGTGTGTGTGTGTGTGTACATATTCTCATCTGTCCAAGTAGGAACTGAGCGTCTGCATACCTGTGTATTGTGCATTGATTTGCATACGTACGTGTGTGTTAGTGCGGTTGTGTTTAAGTGTGTGTTGGTGAACCGGTCTCCATCGGGAAGGATTCCATTCAGTCCGGGTAGATGAGGAAACCGGAGAAGGTGCTATACTTGTTTGTGTTCCCTCCGTGGACCTTCCCTCCGTCCAGCTGCACACACACCTCGTCGCCCACGTCCAAATGCAGGATCACACTGTTGGAGGCGTAGTCGTAATTCTGATCGGCGTCCTGAGCGATGGCGCTGGCTCTTACCTGTCGCCCGCGGAGGACAAACGCATCGACAATTAGAACATGAAGGAAACCGGACAAACACTCGCAAAGGTCACCGTCACTTACTCAACAGCTCAACAGCATTCCTTTATCACTACGTGCGCTTCTCAGGCCGGCTCATCATCAATTATTGACAGCCTTCGAAATGAGACACTCGTACATATGACATCACCTCTGCATTCATGCTGGATAAACTCATGGATTGTGACCTGTGACCCCCCCCCCGCCCCAAAGGTCGGACTGAGAACACAACCGCTCTGGCTGTTATTGATCAGCCGGTGCTCACAGCTGGGCCGACGATGGGGATGTGATTGGGTTGTGGAGATAAGCGGAATCATTGGGGGCAACAGGTCGTCCACGGGGGGGAACTGGCTCAGCCGAGAAACAGCATCACTATCTATTGACCTGTTGCTGGTGATGCTGCGGCCGGTTCAGTATGCATGATATTGAGTTGCTATGCCGAAGCCAGACAGTTTCACATTTGCATGCTGTGCGTGGGTTCGTTGTTATTGACCCAGCAGCAGTGGATCTCTACTTATTTGTTAGCACATTTAATTAGGTTTACTCATCGTGGACGTTTAAGCACACATGCTTGGATTGCAACATACCAAGATTATATTACTGATTTATATCGCGTTTTTAATAAATAGGGTGTGTAGATAAGAAATAAAAGGGTAATTGTACATTGGGTTTCTGTCCTAAATCCCTCCAATATGTTATGTATCAATAACTCTGATGGAGCAGCTCGAATCGCCAGATATTTGTCAGCCGGCGGCGGGCCTTGTGTCCGGCTCCGTGTCCATCCACGGTGGGAGCGCTCCATTCGTGTCAGCAGCCAGACGAGACACTCACGTCTTCATGACAGCCAAAGAATATGATCTGCAGCTCAACAACCGTGGTGTCGTTCCCATCACCTCACTCCCCCCGACGGAGCAGGCATCAATTTGAAAACAGTCAATCGCCGAGCAACACGGCACGAATTACTGTCACAGAAAAGGTGTGCGCTCATCCCTGTGCACCTATCCGTTTGGCCGTTGCCAATGGGAGCTCTCCTTAGATGGAATGCATGCTGGTGACCAGTGGTTAAGCGTGTCCCTGTCCAGGCTAAAACAGATTTATTACAGAGGAGTCGATCTCTTGAGGCGTCTCAGCTAAATAACTGCACATTCAAACCGACCACAGCGAGTGTTATACTACCACAACGACTACTCTTGTTGTGTTAGATTTAAGATTCTCTATCAGTCCACGTTATCCGTGTTTCAAATCACGATGAGATGTGTGGAATGTAGAGATGCTCATCACACTTGTGTCCTAGACATTAATCTACTCTTCTTTGCTAGATGGTAATTTAGTTCAGAGACACAAAATGACCAAAATGGACCTTGTGTGTGGACACCACATTGACACTACAAGTTGACCAATAAATCAAATGATTTGATCACTTCATGAACATATTTGTGTTCTGTGACTTCCTTCTCATCAATGTCAGTGTGTGGATGGTATTGTTTTCACCTCATGTGTGTCATCTACTCAAGTGGTTTTGAGTTCATTTTGTCACTTTGTTAGCGTAGCATCTGTGCGAGGGGCCGAACGGCTCATAGATATAGAGGAACATCAAGTATTGATAATTAGTTATATAATCAGAGCCATATTGTTCTTATTTTATTTTGGCTACCCTTGTGTTAAAAAGGGGAGCCCAATTAGTATAACCAAACAATGAACATCTACTCTTCTTCGGCCCCGTGGACCATCTCTCAAAAAGCGACACCAATCCATTGTCATCTGAAAAGGTTATATTGTGGTTCAGCTTGACATATGTAGTGACAGCCAATATCAAATTTGCATCTGTGGCTGCCGCTGACAGCTATGGTGTTGTTGTGACTTCCTCTTGACACGAGGCATATGTCATCCTGCTCATTAGTTTATCCAAAAAGTGTAACCCAGGGAGATGTAGGGAGATACCCCCCCCCCCCCCCCCCCTCCAACCCCCCTTCAGGTCTTTTCGGATTCTCTTGACTTAATGCATGAAGGCGTTGCTGAACACTCACACCAGAGAATAAAATACATCAGTCAGTATGGATGTCACTTTGCCAATATGCCGTCTGCGAATCGGTGCTCCAGCCGATGCTCCTGCGTGTGAAGGAATAGCGCGAGCCGTCCATTAATGCAGACAGACGGACGGACGGGAGCGACAGAGCCGTCGTGGGATTAGGACAGGGAGCCGACGGAGGAGACGGATACGGCTGGAGGAACGGCCTGATCCGTGTGAACCAGGCGGCACGCTGTGCTGATCCTGGAGCTTGAAGGGCTGTGAGCCGTGAGGCAGGAGCCCCCGGGGTTTGCCTGTGGGTGTCTCTTGTCTCTGCCTTTCATTATAGGACCTACAGTAAACACGCCCGGGAGCAGAGGGGGCCACAGGCAAGGAGGATGGGAATAAGGGGGGAGGGGTGGGGGGGGGCAAGAGGCGTGGGCAGCAGCCGCAGTGTCGTTGGATGGACGAAAAAGAGAGGAAGAAACAAAAACAACAACAAAGACCAAAGGGGTTGAGGAAGGGGGGGAGCGGGGCATAGAGCAACAGACTGATCAAGCGAGGCTATTTTGTGAGGCCGGTGAGATGTGGGGGGGGGGGGCGGGGGGTATATGAAGCCTTGTTTTTATCCGTGGGTCTGTGCTCCACTGGTAATAAAACTGACAAGATGCATTCACTGTGATATACGGACCTCTTAGAGTGGAGACAATAGAAAAGTAGCTGTTAAACTTACCTAAGGGACTCCAGCACATTGCAGGAGGGCTGAGGACGTGTGTGTGGAGGAGGGGGGGTGTTTGTGGGAATGAAATATTTATTGGATAGGCTTTCCTTCTCCTTTGGGATGCCGGGGATTACGCGGCGACAAGCAACTGTAGCATTGAAGCGTACCTTAGATTGCTATTACCTGCCAGTGTTACAGTCTGGAGGCTGCTTCGCCACGATGGTAAAAACCTTCGGACAGTGTGAAATTGGTGGACTTATTTGAATTACGTGTTTCACGTGGGGCGCGTTTGGATATTTATTCCGATCTCTTATGGACAGAGAGACAATTTCTTGTCTGATTTATCTTTATCAGAACAAACTCTGTTATACATCCAACACTTTCCCCAGCGCTGAGGCTAATTATATTTCATCTGCAGCACATCTATGTCTCCGTGGTGGGAAAGTTAATACAGGTACCGGCCATTACAGCAAGTGATGACATTTTAACACTACTGTGGGAAATAACTTGACCTTTGCCTGAGCTATTAAAAGACTCTGGTGAAAAGAAATGAGGGAGAAATTAAATGGGAGCTGAGCCAGTATCTATTTGTCTGCATGTTACATTGAAATAAGAACACGTATTACAGATTTACACTGATGCATTAGGGGAATATAAACAGCTCCCCTACCAGTTAATGAGGAAAAAGGAAGGGATTGTTGAGATGGAACGCATGACGTATTACCAACTTTCATAGCATCGAGCATGCTATCATTAGCATAGACGGTCATAATAACACTCGCCACCCACCTGGAATGCTAGGCAGCATAACTCGTATATCCTTGACATTGATTTAGGAATATAGTGGTTGAACAAATGCATGATAGCAGTGGCACCAATCATAAATGAATGATTGGAACTATTTGTTTAGAGTGATGCTAAATGAATATTAAAATACTCAGTATTATAATGATGTATGAATGCATCATCTTTAGAAACTGGGTAATCAGATCTGGCAGTTTGGGCCTTCTGTTCACTAACTATGCATTGAACATTTCAAATGTGTCAATGGGATGGAACAACGGAAAGCAAACCTCTGCATGATACATTTGAATTGTGCTGTAAGTCCATTACTATTGCATTACGAACGTCAAAAAACAACTAAAACGTTAACCTATTCAATCACAAATCCCTAACTCTGAAACACTATCATGATGTCTTGTGGAAGTTAGATTGAAGTCTGAGCAGGTAAGCTTCAGCGAGGAGGGATTTAGTAAAGGTAATAGGAATTGGATATCCTATCGAAGCCTTGGCACACGTAGCGCATCCTGACATCACGTCATACCACACTTATGTCGCACACGTCCAAGACCCACGGCGTGTGCCTGTTTATTTATTAGCAAAGATACAGGAGTTGCAATAATTCCTGGAGGAAAGCTATTGTTACCCAGAATTCGTTAAATCGCACTTCACATTTCACACTATCCGCAAACAGGTGTTTAAATACAGTTCGTAAATCAATCGTCTCTCTTTCTCTGGTCGACCTTGATCGCTTGTCAAGCCGAGGCGCGTTGAGTGGGTGTCCATTGGTCATCATGCCTGATCTCATCCCGGCCTTCACCGGCAGCCTCCCCGATGCCTCGTCTAGCAGCCCACTGTCTCCACACCTCCATTAAGTCATCTATCTTCCTCTGCTCCACCCCTGATCTTCCCATCAACTCACTTGTCTTGTTTTTGCGATTCACTGTCTCAGGCGGAGTCGGACGCCTATGCTTTTCTATGTCATGTCAAGTCTCTTGTGTTTCACTCATTCTCGCTGAACAAATCCTGGAAAGAAACCCAACGTTGCAAATCACCGTATCTGTTGGGGTGTAAAAGTTATGACTCGAGTGGGTAGGGAATTTGGCGAAATAGTTGCGATGGCCATCCTTCTTTATTGGGTTTAAAAATGAAATCAGCAGGCAGAAAAAGTATCATAGCTCAAGCGCTTCATGGCACATATTATCAGCCGGGGGCTCTGTTTGTTTAGATCCTTGTTAGATGAGAGCTACACAACCGAAATATTTAAGACAGCCACCTGAAAGGTGTCAGATAGACCCGCTGAGAGTTGAAAGGAAAAGGTATTTAATGGAGAATCTATGAGCGAGCTTGGGAGGGGATAAGGAAAGGAAAGCACAGCGGGTTCTAATTTAAAATGTAAAATTATTGAGCAGGTTTGGAAGACTTGAATATTAATACAAGACATTAAGCAGGCAGCCTTAAACAAATATTCATCTTTGTTGCACCAAATGAGATAGAAATGTATTAAATGTATCTTATTTACAACTGTCAGATGAAAGCATACAGTATGTAGTAGCCTTTATTGGGCCCTGTGCACGGCCAAAGAGTTCTGGGAACATTTCATGTCTAGAAAAGAAGGTCTGAGCAGTTTGAGAGTATTTGCATTTGAAGTCCTTGATAAATTTCTGAATGTAAAAAAACAAAACAACTTGAAGAGTGTTTCCTGAATTTAGAGTCCTCTGATAAAATCCCTGTGATTTATCCCACGTCTTCTCTCCTCTCCCCCCCGTCAGCCCGTGTGTCTTTAATTAGTGTCTGGGGAACGAGCTAGTGGATGAGCGGACTGTCAATTTTACATTAACTATTTATTTAGCTGGGATGTAAACTGACTGGACCTCGTATGCTGACGGACATTTCTCCTGTGCTCTTTTGCACTTCTGTTTAGGCGATAATCAAGCTCTGTGTATGATACTCACTAATTAGACTGTTCCTTTTGGCAGCGGCTTGTCATTTAGCCGAAGCGCGTATGAGAATGCAAATATCCCTACCTGGGGTTTTTAGACTGTATAGCATGGATTTCCCTTAATGAGGAGAAAAGATTGCTCCGTCCTTCTTTGACCGTCCTGTTGCCACCTGCTAAGTGGAATGTGCTCCGAATATGAGGAGCTCAATGTTACTGAGGTGCACGTGAGTCAATGGTCACGCAGGACGGTCCACACACACACACGTGCACGTCTGCATGCAGGCAAACACAAACACATTTACTTACCAGTCCGTTCTTTTTCAGGTCTGCCCACATGCTGGTTCCGTCACCCCCTCTCATTAAAACATGGTAGGTGAAGAAGTAGATGCCCGGCAGGGGGCAGGTGAACTTGCCTGTGCTGGGCTCATAGTAGTTACCTACGTTGGTCACCACGTCATCAAACTTCAGCACTTCACTTCCCTCGTGCTGCTTGCGTAGCCCTGCGTAAAAGGCAATTTTGGGAGTGTAGAGTGAGGGTGAATAGCCACCGGGACCTGGACCCGCAGGCCCCTGTGGCCCTGGTTTGCCGGGCTCTCCGGGGGGTCCACGTGCTCCTTGGGGGCCGGGGGATCCCTGGAGGCCCACGGAAACCAGACTTGAGCTTTCTTCCCCGAGTAGTCCTGCGGCGGGGGGGACACGGCCGTCAGCTCCTGGCCGGGCTGAGACGTGGCGTAGGGGTCGCAAACCATCCTGCAGCTGCCAAGCATTTCAAAATGGCTTCCTGCATTTTCGGTGTTCCCCCCTTTGGTTGTGTGGACAAGAAGGGGAATGGCCACCAGCAGTATTAGAACCATGGCCACACCTACAGCAGCTCCAATGACGCGTTTCCTGCGGCTGAGCCGCGAAGCGGCCAGCGTCAGGAAGTCCTCTTCCCCCTTGGCTGGAATGGTGCCGGCCAGGATGAAGCCTCTCCGAGGACCTCTTTGGTGTAAAGAGGTGTAGAAGGATGTGGAGGGGAGTGGAAGGAAAGCTCTGTGTCACTGATAAAATTGGTATTTCTCAGATGTGTGGTGACTCAATACAAAAAAACACACCAAATAACGTCTTGTTCAAATGTCCTTTGACTTCCCTCGTTGTCCTCCGGTCCGGTTTATTTCTTAGCATCAGATGGAAACCATGTCTGCCACTGAGAGGGTTGTTGTAGAAGCCAAGCTTATTAGAAGAATGCTGAAATGGGAGATGGTGCCAAATTCACCGTATTTAGGAGGGGGGTATAATTTAAAAGAAAATCAAAGAAAATTCATATTTCAGGCCCCTTCAATGTTTCAATTAATGCCATGATTAATTCAGGGACAAGTTCAGGGATCAAATATTTCTTCCTGACACAACTCACATGTAACCGTCCACACCAATAACACTTTTTAATGCATTCCTCCACTGGCTATATCTGCATCTGAAAAATAGAGCAAAGACAGTACAGACACCTTAAATTGCTTTAATGTTATTTTAGATACGTAATTATTTAACTGTGATATAATTGCAATCATTCAAAGAATGTTTCAGATCAAATGATGACGACACAAATCTAAAAAGCTATGTCTTCAATAAAAAAGTTATTCATGTTTTTAACTTTAACTAGGTAAAATAAAAGAATAATTTCATTTAGTTTTATTGTGTTTCTTGTCATGTAAATTTAAAATACGTGAGGGTCGACAATGCACCATAAACATGTTTCCGGTTGAATTTTAAAAGAGTAAAATAAAAATACAGAAAACTCACCATCTGCATTATGGAGCAAAATAAATCTGTTGAAGCAGATAAAAAATATATATTCTGTTAATCCGTTCAGTCCACGTTCCACCAAAAGCGACACCAGCACTTTCAACGCGGAGCCGCGGAGCCGACGGGCGCTGCCAGCAAAGTGATGAGAGTTTCTTAATCTGCCGCTAAATCCCCTCGTTTATTTCCTGGCAGAGAGAGAATGCGAGTTAAAATTCCCCCAACTTCAAAGAAAAATACAAAACACCAGTTAGAACACTTTGGAGCAATTCCGAAATGCGCGACCCGCAGCACGCAGACGCTCTCATCCAGAGTGACTGTGACAATGTCGCTTATCGCGGTGAGCTCCATGGGCAGCCCTCGTCGACACCTGTTAGCTCTCCCCCATCCCTCCCTCCCTCTCTCTCTCTCTCTCTCTCTCTCTCTCTCTCTCTCTCTCTCTCTCTCTCTCTCTCGCCTCCTTTTACATTACACTTTTTTTGTTGCCACATTGGGATTTAACAGATGTCCCGTCTGCATCTTGTTATCCATGACATTCACCTGTTGTTGGGGGACAAACTCCTTAGCAAGAGCGAATGTTTGAAGAGTCACGGAACGCAGGCAGATGTTTTCCTCTGGCGGAGGAGGGAGTACACTGGACACGGTGAGTAAAAAGATGCCTCGGCGGGGTGGGTGAGGCATGGAGGGGGAGACACTAAATGTTCCCCAGACCATTGTGTGTGTGTCTGTGTGTGTGACTTGGATCCCACAGTTATAAAGCCTCATTAGTGAGACACCCTGCCCCACATGCGGTGCTGCTCCTTTTCCTTCACCTAAAAACCTTACACACAAACACAATGCTACTGCACACACACACACACACACACACACACACACACACAGAGACGTGGCATGGACGAGCCATTTGTGCACCATTAGTAAAGACCTCGTTTGGTATTGTTGAACCACTCGCTGTCGCAGCGAACGGAGGGAGATGGTGTGATGCCATGTGAACTAAAATGTCTCCTGATCACCTTCCATTTCAGTTACATCTTGGGTGGACTTTTGACTCATATCACCAATTCCTCAGAGGTTTGCGTCACCTGTCTGACTCGCCCAATCGCCGCTCTGTGAGTTTTAAAGTTTGATGACTGAAGCACTGGGGGCGCCGGAGGAATGGGTCTACATATTTGATGAGACACTTTTTATTAACACCACCTCTTGGACCTCTCTCTCCTCAGATATGATGACTGCTGTCTGGCCATGTAGGATCAACAGACCCGATCCCACCGGATAGCTCATCGGTTGTTCGTGTCAGGCAATTGCACACCGCCTCCGTTTACCAATCGTGTGGTTTTAGCGTACAAAGATTGTTGAGGTGACAACATTGAACAATGCCGAGATGATCGATCGCTGCCCCTCCTGCGAAGGAAAAGATTAGCAAGAATAAAACTCTGAGAAGCAACCTTTTCTCTCATGAGTCTTTCCACCAGCAAGGGAAAGTTTGGGGCCCGTGATATGTGCTTTGGGGTTAGAGTTGAGATGGGGGTGTCGGTCATTCGGTCCCACTAGAACAGTGCTCAGAGCGCCGGGGAGATAATCAGTGCCAACAGTCAGAGGCAATATGCTCAGGATTGGATTTTTAAAGCCTGTTAAAATATTACTGAGGGGATTAATATTCAAATATGTGCATGTCTTTCAGCTGTCTGTCTCCCTTTCTCCCTATTCTCTTCATGATTTGTTCCCTTCAGTATTCACACGCGGCAAAATTTCAACATTATGTTGATGAAAGGTCTTTTTTAAGTTTATTGTGCCACTTGACTTAACTTTTGACTCACACATTCTCCACTGTCACTAATAGAAAACGGGCCATTGGAGAATCAGTACTGGGCTTTTTGAATAATCAGTTTGTTTAATAATTCATTTCATATATAATGACACACCAAGAATAAATCTCTCTCTTTTGTGCACACACATGCATAACTTGAGCTCTAGTTTTTCTCTCTTCTGTTCTGTGTAAACAAGTAAGAGAGAAGCAGGAACCTATTTATAGCCACATTACTCATGTTATATTTCTTTTCCGCTGTGGATGGTTTGTGTGCATATTTTTTTTTTAAAGGCATTCACTTCAAGATTTAAATAACTCTACTGGATTATTTGGCGGAAAAACAAAACGAGCAGAGTGGTAATGGGTGGAATCATCTCAGCTTAATCCGTCAGTGGTACGTGGACCACATATTGCGTTTTGTTTTGAGACTGTGGCAGCGTCACACAATCCAAACCCAGCGCAGGCAGTGTGACCAGCACATACTGAGCATCAGCCCTCAGGGATAATGACATATAGTCCCCAAGAGGCACGTTGCTGCCGGAGGGCCGTCGCTCCCAGGGGGCCTCTGCTCATGTCTTCCTCAGTTAACAGGGACAGGAACCCGGCTATCGAGCTCCCTTTTCTTTTTTGCTGCCAGAGATTACGCCCTTTTAAACAAATTTAGAGGTTGTTAGAGATTTCGGGAGGTGATCTGAGGGAAGGCTAAAAAAGAAAATGGAGGACGACATGAAGTGCAATACGAAGGTACATGTGACGGCTGTATTTGGTTCGACAGCTCTGAAGAATATGCTCTGGAATGAAAGCGAAATAAATTTCAGGTCTCTGCTGAAAATGCATCACGTGACTTAATAATAATAATTCCAAGATGAACATGAAATCTGTCACCAGTCCATGTGTTATCATTGTTATTTCACCTTGACATAAATGCATTATTTCCTGCCCGGCACACTCGGCCATGTGTGCTAACTGTACAGTAGATCTGTAGGCAGATGTGTCTACATCCCGGTGCTGCGCTGTTTCATTAAGCTCTGATTATGGGACCTGATGCAGAGTGACAGTGTGCAGATTGAGTTGCCCAGCCACTCTAATTCTCTCTATTAATAAAACCCTTCCACACTGCTGTCCTGGACCACATTTATTAATCACAATTTGTCATCTGTCCGATGCCCCACCCTCACTCTCCTTAGCTGTGTTTTCCTCCCTCTCAGCGGGGCGAGTTATTCCCTGCCCCTCCCACCCTCAGCCCTCACCCCGGCTCCATTTGCCTTCAGCTCAGAAACGTGGTGCGGCATACAGAGGGAGGGTCTGACTCTCTTCCCTCGCACACGCGCACACGCAGTGCTGCGTGCTCACGTTAACGGCACCCGGGAAGGAGCCTCGTTCATTTTCAGCTTTAATTGGCCGGAAAAAAAAAACGTTAACAACTTGGAGCTTTTGGTAACAATCTCCTTAAGATCTATTATACTAAATGTTTATTGCCAGCCTCGCAGCACAAATACACTTTGTAGTGTATTGCATCATTAGAGAGAGGAGATGGCTTGCAATTACCTTTTTTATTATTGTTATATTTCTTTTGCATACATTTCAGGCATCTGGAATTTCTATGGTCACAACATGTTGCCAGTTAATCAATAAGTGTGATGGCATATCCCAAATGTATTAGTGCATTATTGGGGGGTATTGTGAAATCACATTTCTGCTCATGTTTCAGTCAAATGGCCCTTGACCCCACTCGGAGAGATGATTTATGAGTCAACGAGCCCCCCAGGGGCTTTCAAGCTGCATTTATGCTCATGGCATCGACACTTTTTGGATATTCGGTAAACTGCCATTTCATCACACGGCTGAACTTTTCCTGTAGTTTGTTTCTTCGGGAGTAGAGAGAGTCTGAACTAAAAGCAACACTTCCCCCTCCACCAACCGTCCCACTACCCAGAGTCCCCCCCCCCCCCCCCCAGCACCGGGCCCCCTCTAATGTCTCCTTTCAGCAGAATGGGTGTTTAGGTGAAACAGAGGCGATTTTCATGTGCAAATGTCAGTCAGTCCGCTCCAAGCAATCACAGGCCCGTCTTCTCCAGAGATCCCGGCTTGAGACACAGCCTGAATAATTTAGCAGCTCTGTGCCGCGGGGCTTTGGGGTCGCAACCTTCTAAAGTGATGACAAAAAGACGTCGGCTGACTCTCCCTCCCATTCACTCCCATTACCACTCATTTACCATTCCCGGCTCGGGGCAGACAAAGCAGAAGGCCACGCTGGGGGGGAGGGGGGGGTTTGGGGGGAAATCATCGCCGCTGTATAAACTGCGTCAGGAAGCGGGGCACAACCAAACAATGACATTTTCAGAGCGTCCCCGAGTCGGTGGCGATCCCCTCCTGCGCCGCACCGTGAAACAAACACACACACACACGATCACCCAAGCCGGCAGTCACAGACAAAGGAGATGATGGACACATACGCAGAGAAAAGGTCGACAAGTGACACACAGCAGGGAGAGGTGTCAGAGCCGAAACCCTGCCCATGTACGAAAGGTGTGGATTAAGATTTAGATAGTGATCGGAAAAAACATCCAAATCTTCTATTTCACGGTAGAAGATGGTGATTTTCAAGGTATGACGAAAGAAAACACTGAGACACGGAGGAGAGAGTGAAAGAAATTGATCCGTCCTTCAGTACAGACACACTCTACATTGCCGTCATTCAAAGGGGGACAGACAGCGCTTGGTTTGACAAGAGGGGTCATCACTCGTATGCAGCGGGGCTTTGACAGCAACCTGACGGGGATGGATGGACCGTTGGACAAATGCTGTTGGGAAAATGGTACATTTATCTGCGTCATAAGCTTCTTTCGTGATCAAGTCCTCCAGTTCCCGCATTCAATTAGTTCTTTCACACATGTATTTTTAGCGAGAAATCCTGTAATCAAGAACTTGACATTTCTAACGTATAACGTATGTATAATTTACCCAATATTTTTGATAACGTCATCCTTCTCAATTATCAACCTCCGAAATTGGCATCAATCTGTGACGTGATCTCTCTATGAAATGCAAAATGCCGTTAGCAGCTCTGATCCCGAGTCTCCACAATACAGAAGGACATTATTGGAATGTGAGGAAACAGCAGTGAATTGTTTATTGGTGGATGCAGTGGGACGTTCCCGCAGAGATGTCGATTGTGATATAGATGTCGATTGTGATATAGATGTCGATTGTGATATAGATGTCAATGGTCCGGCCTGTGACACACAGGATCGCACAGAAACACTGGGAGGAATGAGGAGCATGCGGCGCCTTCCCCTTCTAACCCTCCTCCTAACCTGTAGTCAGCAGTACAGTCAGTCGAGTCAAACCCAACGCATTTATAAAGAGTGTTAATGGTCATACGGTTTGACTTTGTGTCTTGGGAATGCATTACAAGGGCAACGAGAGAGGAAGGGTGGACACGAGACTTCCCACTGAATTACTGAGAGTGATCATGTTGTGACTTATGGTTGGTTGCTGTCCGGTACGCCGCGATAAATTGTGCTGAGCAGGAATTACACTTTCTCATTTTTCCTGCTGTGTATTTGTCTCTGCCTGGACACCCCTTCTCTCCCGGACGTTCATCCTTCTACTGCCTCTGTCCTTGTGGTGGTGAGATCCGAGGCGGCAAGTCCACAAGAGAATAACAGACAATTACTTTATTATTTCTTTCTTGTAACTCGACTTATTTGCTCCTTGATGGGATGGATTGTCATATCTTTCGTCATTATTTGTGATGACTCTTTCTGTCACATCTCTCTAGACGCTGTAGTTCCCCAAACAAAACCATTGCCATTTTCCATCCGTCCACCAGGTTCCCTTCTTACTCCATCACCTGCTACACCCCTCCACATACCTGTTCCCACTTAATCAACTCTCCATCCGTGCCCACCTCCTCACCTGCATCTCAACCCCTTGAAACGCTTTGTTCTGTCTGCCTGTTACCTGCCAACCATTTGTACTCTGCCTGTAAGCTGTAATTCCCTGGATTCATCCTGCTGCCTCCAGTTTTAATCGTTTAACAAGAAAACAATTATGAAGTGGGATAAAAAAGCAGTTATTTGGACTGAAAAAAGCAACAACATTCTACTTTGCAGACCAGAGAGAAGTTCACGACAGCTTCTGGGAGCCAATAGGGAGAAGAGTGGTGACCATGTGGAAAAGGGGGGAAAGATCAGTTAACTGGCTGGCAGTGGTCACGTATGGCCTTGAGGTAAAGGAGTGTGGGCTTTAAACCAGCCAAAGGGTTTTTCATCCAACTACAAACAGCCTGCGGCAGCCAAGGACTGGACTGCGGAAAGACAAGGGCTTTTTGATTAGGCTGAAAATCATTCTGAATGAGAAGCGATTGCTGCAGGAAGGGATTTGGAATGCAGTAGGAGAGAGGAGTTGCAGGGTAAATGATTAAAGCCTGAATATGAGCAATATCTAGTTCCCAGTCCAATGTGGCGCTCTCAGGGAGTTCCCTGGAAAAAGGAAACTGGTGGATGAATAGCGGAGACATGACATGTGGACCACTTTAGGCTTCGTTGAACCCATTACAGCTAAATCTTTTATCTTGAAGGGTAATATTCTTCCAAGACCCTGAAATTTGGGGTTCTTCAGGACTTACGTAATATCCTCCTGCTTCTCCTTGAATGGCTTTGTTTTCTTTTTTATTGTGCACATATCATGTCCAATTGACATTCCCTGTATCATAATGTTTCTAACTGACTGATCAGCGATCAGAGATGGAGTTCTTTGTGTAAATACAGTCTGAATAATTCATACAGGGCTGTCGAAGAGAGCAAGGCAAGGGGCATTTTGGAAATCAGCTAGCTAGGCCCCTGACCATGAATAATTGATCTGCACTGATTAAAATTTGCAGTGATTACCCGTCATCCCCCCAACAGATAAAACGCCACACCTGTGTTTGCTGTCTCTTTACTTATTCTCATCTTTCTTTCCTCCTTCTCCCTGAAACGTGTATTAATTAAGCACATCCAGCCACAACGTGCGGTGGAATGTACTGTACGACACTCGCATAACTTTGCCTTCTCAGTCAGTTGGATTTCCAGCATCAAGCTGAATCACCTCTTCTATGCGTCAGCTTGCTCAAGCAGAATTTAGTTCATTTATTATGATTGAATAAAAAAAACGTTATCGTGCTCCTGTTCTTTCCCTGATCAAAACACAATTAAGTTCTAACTGCCATTCCACATATTAAACCCTGGGCAGCTACTGTCGAAGGGCCTTCCTCTGCCCTTGGGCAGCGGATCCTCAGACACTTTGTCTCAAGCAAAGCTGTAATGTCTCTAGGCGTTCCGTCTGAGACACTATAACAGCAAAACATACCGGGGTCCCAGATGAGGAAACTTTGTTCAACTCGTCTCTACTCGGTGCAGATCTGCAGGGCAGCACGTCCGTCATCAGATAACGGGCGTGCACACAGACACACGGCGGGCTCAGTCTGCATCGGGGTATCTTCTCACTTTTCTGAACCTTCAAAGTCCAGCTAAAGATGGCACTTTGATCTGTGTTCCAGAGAAGGAGGAAGTGCTTGACAGAGCGACTTGGAGGAGGGGGGAGGCGGGGGGAGAGGTAGGGAGGGTGGCAGAGTGACAGCTAATGACAGTAGCTACAAGCTGTGACCTTTCCAGCGATCACACAAGCATGACGAACGGGGCTCAAGGTATTTTTTTTTTGGAACAGAGCATTGTGTGTCTGTGGTTCAGCAGTCACGGTGCATCAGTTTGATTTTTGTTTTGGTATTGAGATTAAAGGTACACCGATGATCAATAGCAATGCAATATTTGTTAGAGAACAGTAGTTAAATGTGTTTAAATGCAGTTAAGAGTGAATGTTTTGCCACACATTGTCAACACCTACATTTTGATTCCAACCAGAAACATTTTTAACTTCCCTGTTTACACCCACAATGATACAATACTGCTTGCTCACCATTTTCTAAAAATATTTTGGGATGATTCAGACTTTTTCTCGATAAACGAAACAAGCTTAAATTTCTATGGGATTATTTTTATCAGAGGTATCGTTGTGTCCATTCTGGTTCTTCTCCAGCACACCTTGCTTCATTTACTCGCAGGTTTTTCTATTT